CAAACTCAACTACATCTAAAGGCCAACCTCTTTTTCTGGTTCTTCATAAGCTAACATTCTTAACAGCCAACCATAAAATAGAAAAGTACTCGTAACATAGAATGCCGTAGCTGTTCAAAATTTACCATATATTGAGGTATTAAATCCATGTGTCTGGTTCATCACCTTTTTTCTTATTCTTAACGTGGCAAAAACATATCGAAAGACAGAACCTCTAGACTTATTTGAATATAGGTCTAGACCTGCCATATTAAGCGCATTTTAAACAGGAAGTAATCTGCGCTGGTAGTAATATCAGAGCTCATAATGTGGGATATAAAGTCATTTGTGAGATCACAGGACTTCATGGTCAATATAATCATAAAGACAGACATACTTGTCCCCGACATATGGCTATAGTTTTCTGTCCGATCCACACTCAAATAATAAAACCATTTTCATCATTATTCACTGCCTAAAACAGACCATTAGCGCAATACCACTTCCTAGATTTCTTAGGTATTCAAGCTACTCAGGATATTATCTCCATGCATACCTTTCCCATATTATGCCTGAGTACGGATGGGATGAAAGAAGCACTTTGATAACATATCAATGCATAGAAAAATTTTGAACAAACATCACACATGAGAAAAATATCGTCAGCTTATAGCGTAAATTTGCTGATAATCACATCTATACCAAATCAATCATTTAAGGGTCGATGTCTCTGCAATAACGTGTAATTTTATTGAATATTAATGAATTTCTTTACTATATAAATACTTTATAGTATAATACTTTATAATATTTATACAGCTTTATGATAAAGTTTAGATTTGATATTTTTCCTAACTAAAGGTTTGCTTTTATTCAATCAAGTATGTTCCCTTTACTAGAAGCAGAAGCATTGTACGGTGTATTTTAATTTTATAAGGAGTTTCTATTACGCTCGGCCATTTTTATTTGTACGTGCCTGTTGAGAATCGCCGGGTAGGTTAATTTAAGGGCCAACTACGTAAGGTATCTGTGTCTAGCCTCGGCTAAGCCTATTTAGTTTAGTATCAGATTAGTTTCTTACTTTATTATCTGTATTTAAAAGCCCAAGTGGAAGCTTTCCCATAAGTCCGAGAAGGGGCCATCTGTTATTATTTCTTTGAGTGAATAGAGCCCACCAGCGGGCGAGCGGTTAAGTCGCTGAACACTGGTAGTTCGGTCCGAGGTTCGAATCCCGCGAACGGGCTGGCTGCATGGGTGTTTTCGTGGTTTTCCCCATGTGTAACGTGTATACGAGCCAGTTTCCCTTAGAAAGTCTTCCACGAAGGCATCCTTCCCCTTAGGCAGATAGCCCTAGTGTGCTTTGCCATTATTAAATTAAATACATCTTGAGTGAATAAAAGGGTATTTTAACCCTTCTTACGTCTCTATAGTAACTATTGGAACTCAGCGATCATTTGCTATTTAGTTCCCTATGTTCCTCGACGCTATAGCTAGATGAAGCATTGAGGAATATTAGAACACATAAAGTCTGGGATCATTCTCTATATGAAATAAACAAGGCGAGTACGAACTTTATTTTGGACTCTTTATATTAGCAATGTAAAAAGAGTGACAAATAAAAGACAAAATTTGTACCTGAATTATAATTTTATTATCTATGCAGTCAATACATTCAGCACAACATGTTTAAACAACAATAATCTAATTTCTTTCCATTACTCCTACAAAAATGCAAACAGTGCAAAAAGCTTTACAAATATTCCATTATTAGTTCCAAACTTAAGGAATCAGTTATTGCTCTATGAATTCTATGTAAAATATCTACAGTATTCAGCAATAAAAATGAATATCTTTAAATTAATTCTACGAATCTGATATTGTTAAGTTCAGAAAATACTGAGAACTTATACTTGGAAAGAAAAAGGTGATTTAAAATTCAGTCAAAGGCTAAAGAAAGATTAGCTTCTTCTTTAATTATTTTTCAAACTGCACAAGATGTTAACTAAGATTTGATGGGGATAAAAACTGAGAACTAGATAAAGTTTTATGTTTGTACTTTGACTTCTGTAAATCTAATACACACAGAATAATGGATGATCAATCTGCTATTTATAATTACATATGTTTTACATCATGGTTAAAACATTTTCTACATGAATATGCTTTGAATACACAAAGACTTCACAGTACATTTTTTGAACTTTGAGGTCACAGCACATTTTACCAGTTCAAAAACAAATATATATAAATAATATATATATAATAACTGTCCTAAAACACATCAAAAGCAATAAGTAAAATAGTATGCAAAAGTATGTGTAAAATGTAATGGTCAAAAGTCTACAAAGTTTTGAGTCAATCCTAACCATCCACATATCTCAGATTCCTTTTATTAAAATAATATCTGCTTACAAACAAGTCCAAATGGAATCTTTTATTTTGATTTTATGCAATCAGTATCTACTGTTATGAATCTGAAAACTGAATGATGAGAAATGACACAGTTATATTTACAAATGAACCATCATACAGCAATTTTATTGCACAAAAAAGAATAACTGATTTTAGTTCTCGAATTCACTAACGAGATTTAATACCTTCTAGTTCTTAAAGAAAAATATTATATATATATATAACATTCCAAGAGATTTCAGGAATCTATGAAACATAATGGAAGTGTTCAAAGAATATTCAAAAGATTGAGTTTTGTGAAAAAAAAACCAAAAATATCAATATGCTAAGAGGTGTTTAGCATTAAAAGGAATGTCTGTAGTAGGTGTAACAATAATAAGGCTGTTTCTTTCAAATCTCAGATTTTTATGAAGCAGTTCTAAAAGTCTGTACATGCACTGTATATATAAATAAGGCATTTTATTAACTGATTAGATGCTGTTATTTTTACTGATATAGAATAATTTTGCACAAATTTAAAATGCATGAAACTGTTCGTTTAAAAAAAAAACGCCCAACTCAACTTTGAAATTTACGTAGACTTCTTAAGCTCCCTGCCTAGCTACAACATAGAAGCACTAAACCAGATGATACTGAAGGTAGTTCAATACATATTTAGAATGAGCTAATACGACGACAAAGGTTGATGAGACTTCCATTTTTGGAAGACAAACTGATTTCAGAGGAAAATAAAATAAAATAAATTTTTTTTAAAAAAAAGAGACAAACAGAGAGAAAAACTAGGATACTTTATGTTAACTACAATTTTCGCTATCAGTGAAACTGTTTATAGATAAAAACGGAATTAAGGTAGTAGGTAACCAATATTTATATGTTTGCTATGAAACAGCATGACGAGCAAATTATTACTAATTTAACACCACCTGGAGGCTTAAATTAACAATTTTTTTATATCTTTCTATTTTATTACCATATTCTTGACTTCTAAATACATTTATATTATATATCTATATATATATATGTATTCTACATTAAAAAAACAATAATGATAAATAAATTTTATTATATATGGATTCTATATTTAAAAAAGTTAGCATACATAATATGCCAGTGTTTAGAAAAGCAATGATATCCCAAAAGCACAAGATTATTATTTATTACCTTTATTACAAAAAAATTTCTGCTCAGTTGCAAATTCTTCTATAATAATCATTTAGTTATAATTGAATTTATTACTATCCAAATGGTTTAGTTATTTATTTTATGAAGCAGAAATATTTCTTTAAAAATGTTACAAAAATTTCACCGAAGGAACCTTCAAAATAAATTTTTTAATACAAAATTCAGTAAGATATTACTTAATTTATTATTTATATAACAATTTCATTTTTATAAAACAACATAAAAACACTATTATGTATGAAAACTGAAAATGGTTGTTCTTAGTGATCCAATCAATCAAAGAAGTATATATATAACAAGTACATAACATGTATAATTTATTATAATCTGTCATAGAAAATTCGACATTTAAAAGCATGTTCTTGATTGTTCAGTGACATTCATGAATATTTTTCACAAGTATAATAAAAATGCAAATTTATTTAAAATGAAATACATCTAAAACTATATTTAAAAAAGATATCAATTTACTATTATATTTGTAGAAAATTAAAAAAGAACATTTCATTTGAGAAGAAAAATTTTATATTCTATTTTAATGAACAGTTTACTGCATAATACAATTAAAAAAATTTTATTCATTGCACATCCATCCCAATTACACAAATAATTTTCAAATTTTACATTACATTTATCTCTTGCTCTTTGCATAGATAAAGATACATAAATATAACAATACAAGCTTCATACATATTTACACGCATAAAAAATGTCCATACATCAAATCCTGTACCTCTAGAGTAAATTTATGCATCAAATTATTTTATTATTCTCTTAATTTTTAATTTCAAATTTGCATTAGGGAGACAATGAAGGAAAAATAATAAATATGCATAAATAATACCTCAAATTCTTTATCAGGATTTATAATCTGTAGGAAAGCTGAAAATTATAAATTCTGAAACTGTCACTGTGAAAGACCACATGTATTAGAGTAGTATAACAAACTCATGCCTCTTACTGCATTGAAGCATCTTAATTTTATTGAAACTGGCATTTCAACAAAACTGAGCTGTATCCATGACTGATTCACTGAATTTCAACCATATTTTTTTTTATCAGAATGATGACCATGTCATGAAGTTTCAGAAAAAGGAATTATGAAAACATTCCATATACTAGAATAAATTTGTATAAAATGAAGAAAAAAATACTTGAAGTAATCATGCATGATGATTTAGAAATTGGTTACGAAAAGATACCTGTTGGCAAATAATCAATTTCAGATATAACCCTAATATTAAAGAAGAGTGAAACATCAAGTAGTCAAAGAGGACTTTTGAGACACTTTTGAGACACAATGAGGTATTATAAGGTATTTCTCCCGCCTTCCTAGCGTGCTCTCATGGTGCAGTGGTTCTGCAAGCAGGGCCAGTATTTCAGAGGTCCGTAGTTCAATTCCCTCCAAAGGCATTTGCTATTTTTCATCTTTCCTGCTTCCAAAATACCTAATGTCTCTACAGTATTAACGGCATTTGAAAATTTTTTTCAAGCACAATCCAGATATAAAGTTCCAAAAATTTTATATTATTATTGGAAAAAAAAATCTTCAACTCTTTATATGTAATGGAAAAATCACTAAATAAGAGACATTTCAACTTTACTTCTTTGCTTGAATTCTAAAGTATGCATCCTTCAAACACTGCAAACAGAATTTTTTTTGAAATATATTATTCAATTTAATATGTAATCAGTGATAGCAAACTGATGTCCCATATATGACTCATGAGGTTCCCCCCCCTTCCCCAAGCTTTACATCAAAGTTATTATTATTGACCAAATTTTCAAAATTTTTGTAAATTTTCACATATCTATAAAGATTATTTAAGATGAATACAACAAGAATCTTGATATAATCAGCTATTTCAGGACATATTTCCAAAATATACTTCCTGCAATCCACAGCACAAAGATGGTACTTTAAATTGGCTCTTGAGGGTAAAGAAGTTGCCCATCATAGATCATAAACACGGCACAGATTTAAAGATCTATGTTACATGCAATGTGACTATCAGAATACATGTACATGTCACATCCATCATTGCCTGCAAGATCTTCAGCTTTTAAGTGAGTTTTATCAATAGTGATCTTGATAAAGGATGCTTGGATGTATCAAAAAAACCCATATTCATATTACATGCAATGATTTAAATATTTCAGTATTCTATATTTGGTCAACTGCTTTCTTTAAAATTATATCAACATCAAATTTCCATAAGACTTAATAGATAAAAAATGAATGTGTTATCTTGAAATTTCAACAAATAAAATGGTTGACAGTAAACAATGCTTTTCTTCCTGACATTTATAAGAAGACATTCTGTAAGTGTTATAGAGTAGATTTTATAATTTTTCCAATTTCATTGCAGAAATTTCTGCATCTATATATGCAGAGTACAGTAATAGTAAATCTTAAATGACAGTTTGCTTTGTATGCATACATATCTCTTGAGTAATCATCTCCTGAGTTCTTACAATACAGATATCAAATCAAATACAGATGTCAAATGTTAGTTATAGACAGAATTCATTTCTGTATTTTTGCACACAGAAAGTTAGGCATAAAACAAAAATTTTATGATCTGTATATATGCTGAACTGTATATAGCTAAAATACGGGAAGGGGGGGAAGAAAGAAAACACATATATCACTGTAACAAGTATGATGCAACATATCAAGTGAAAGTTAAAACCAAAGGAAATGGGGAAGGGGTGGAAACAAAGACATCTGCATACCAGTTAATCTTTTAGCATTTAAAGGAAAAAAAAAAACAAATTTGATTTGATATCTGTATTGTAAGAACTCAGGAGATGATGGAGGGAAACAAAGACATCTGCATACCAGTTGTGTGCTGTCAAAATATCATTTACTGAGCAGTAACCATCTAAAATATAAGCAGCACTAGAAATTGGAGTACTGCAATCAGAATTTGGACATCATTTTAATGTTTCTTAAAGTATCATCGTATGAATTTTTCGTCAGTTTAAAGGAGTTACTGATGTTGTACATAGTATACATTAGACTGTTTTTTTTTTTTTTTTTTTTTTTTCTTTAAATGCTAAAAGATATTCAAATCTTATCAGCTCTGAACTGAAAAATGTTTTACTATAATATCTACAATCCATATGAATGGATAAACTGCAAGAAATATTTTGTGTAATACAAAATTATGGGTCTGAAATCTACTCTGCCATATTCCATTCACATAGAACAGATATCATTTATGTCGGTGTGAAAATGTATCTTACACTGCAGACAATGATAACATCTGTTTGGTGCCAAATATCTTTTTTCCTAACATCCCCTCCCCCTCAAAGGAAAAAAAGTTTGGATTACTTTAAAAATATGAAACATGTAGCACACTTGTAAAAATTTGAGATATATTCATTACTGCTGCTCAATGAATAATGAGAAGTTAAATTATAAAAATGTGCACCAAGAACAAGTACTAAAGTTACAAAATTTTTGTATAGTAGTTCATTCTACAATTGGATAACAGTGTTGAAGAGACTGGTTTTTCAAGGTTTATACCAATTTGTAATGAAAATACAAATGAGGATAAACCTTGTTCAGCTTCCCTCAGAAAAGTTCTCCATGAAGGCATTATTTCCTTTAGATACATAAGCATTCAGTCTTTTGGCATAATAACTAACCAACCTTACATTTTAAGGAATAAAAATGGAATGTCAAATCAATTTTATATTATTAGGAATTGGATTTTATAACATAATGGAATATAAAACTTGGCCTTAACATCAAAACTGCAGCATGATAGTAATCAATATTGATTACACTAGACAGAAATCACCAAAAAGTAATTTATATATATACATCAGTTTTATAATTTTGTGATCGAAATAAAATGACAAAAGTGATTTCCCTACTTAATGTGAAAATGGAGTCTTTTAAATATATTTTATGCATAAAAGCCCATCGAAAATCTAAATATATTATTAAATTATCTTCTTTAAAGAAACAAACATAGTATTTAATATTTTCTTGCACAAATAAAAGGATTTTCATAACATTCTGAAGTTTCTTAAAAGGATGTTTTTCATTCCAAAAATTATATAGCAAAAAATAAGCAACAGAAGTCAATGTTTGGAAAAAAATATAAATACAAATGTAAAGAAATAATCAGAGATATAGAAGATTAGTAACTTTCAAAAAGATGTATGAAATCCTCAGAATACTACAAAATATCAACAATACAAATAGGTTATGGTTTTAGACTTTGGCATTTATCTATATATGTAAAGATTTTTAATGCATCATAAAAAGAGAGAATACTATTTTCCTCATTTATTGAAACTATGGAATATGTAAACTCTTTTTTAATTGATTTACAGTTCTGAAATGGTATGTTTTCTTACTTTAAAATCAGCAGAATAATGCTATTATACATGTGATGAGTTCAAATTTCTCAAACGAAAAGTGAAGATCTATTAGCGGATGTATAATATATATGTCTTCCCATACCATTTCTATTAAAAACAGTCATTTTTGAGCAGTATTTCTCATACACTACAATGGATTACTTTCAATCCTCATATAGGCACTGTCCTTTAAGTTACATATGCTAATAACAAATTTTTATGTCATTCTGCTACCAGATGGAAGCAGCAAGAGGAATGCAGTCACTACTCTCATCAGCAGGTATAGTACAGGCAGGTGGTAGAGAGTTCTGAAAGTAATAAATATTTCTTTAAATATTTTAGCATATGATTTCATTATAAGAATAATAAACAAAAGCAATTGTTTCTATTCTTTTATATAATTATAGATGAACCAGCAGCATTTCAGAAAATACAGCTACTTTAAGCAAGGTATTAAACCAATATTACGTTAAGAATGAACTTATTACTGGTCCAGCTTAAGCGAAGGCTAGCAGTTTATGATCCTATTTTCATCATTTTAGTTAAAACCAAGCTTAGATAAAAAGTAGTTTATATATATCAGTTTTATAATTTTGTAATCGAAATAAAATGACAAAAGTGATTTCACTAATGTAAAAATGGAGTCTTTTAAATATTTTTTATGTATAAAAGCCCATCGAAAATCTAAATATATTATTATCTTCTTTAAAGAAACAAACATAGTATTTAATATTAATTTATCATAATCTAAGAATAAATTAAACCTAAGAATTTTGGAATGCTGGATGGAAGTCTTTTCCAAGCTTCCCAAAGCTAACAATCTTCCTCAAAAGAAAATTGTTTTATTAAAGCCATCATCTCAGATTTTGAAACCACCATGGAAATTATTTCTTGCAATATACTATGCTACTTTGAATTGATGCTTCTTCTTCATGAACTCTACAGTCTGCTACAGGCCAAGGCTGACTGTCCACGTTTTCTCCACCTGATCTTATCCGGTGCCAAAGCTTCCCACTTATTCACCAGTATCAGTTCCAAATTCTTTTCCACACTAACCAGAAATCTAGTGCATGGTCTTATTTTTTGTCACTTACCTTCTATTTTTGAGAACATTATCGTTTCAGTAGGAAATGTATCGTCATATCCATAAATATGGCCTAGCCATCTAATATGAGATGCCTTTACAATTTTGACAATATCAGATTCATTATATTTCCTATAGATTTCATGATTATACAATATTCTCAACAGTTTATTTTGCCTCACTGGATAAAAAATCAAAAATAGATGGCTAAACATCTGTCGGCCATAAATATCCTATTTTCAATTTCAATTTTAATGTCATCACAGCCTGAAATCATTGTATCCAGATATTTAAATGGTTTAAGTCTCAAAATTATAATTGTTGATCTTTAAAAAGGGCAAGTGCATATTCTTATTTATCACCATCATAAATATTGTCTTATCCTCATTGATGGTAAGACCCAGCTTCCCTGCTGCATATTCAAGCGAGACAAATGCTCTACAACAGCCATTTAGATCATCTAATAAGACTGTAATACTTCTTTGGCGAAATGAAGCAACTCCAATGATGGAACACAGCAATAACTTTTATTTAACACTCAAAAAAAATGGCGACATACAAACAAAAAGAGAAAACATATTCTAACATTTAAAAATAAATTACATTCTTCGTGCGAGAGTCGCACGAGGCACTCGAGTCTGGTTTCAAATATTGCCATTCACAAATACCTTAATGTTCATCTATTTAAATTATTTAAACTACAAGATTTTAATATTATTTAAATCTGTTACAACCTCTCCCCCAACAGAGAAACTTTTGCCGAAGGGAAAAGTTCTGTAAATTTCGAAAGTTTATAAGCTCGGCTTGCTCAGTTGCTTAAAGAGAAAAGATAACTTCTTCCATAAGTTTCCAAATTTTCAGGCCGAAAATTTTAAGTTTTAAACAAATATTTTTACACCACATTTAAATAGGAAGAAAATGGACAGTGTTCAAATTAGTCTTCTTTTTTTTTTTTTCTTGACGGCGCCTAGATCTCTTCCATGGTGGACCAGTTCCTCGGCTATAATTCACAGCAAAGCCTTTCCTCAGTTCATCTGTGCCTTTCGGATAATATTCATTTGTCATTTGCTTTCGACAATTGTTTTCTTCGTCTATTAGTAGCGGCTTTGATATTAAATCAAAAGCCGGAAGATGATGATAACGCTGCATTGCAAAATGATTCTCAATATTAATTTCTTTATCGTTTTTCAAATTTTCGTGAAAATCTTCCACGTTTAATTCCTGGTGATTTTTTAACTTCTTCAAAGATATCTCTGGATGCTTTATTTTCTTCCTTCATCGGTTCCAAGATCTTCTCTTCAGCTATTTTCTTTTCCTTTGAGCTCTAGTAGAGACGGCATTAACCTGGTGAGGATGACTATCAGGTTCCTTTCTTTGTTTATTCAACAGTGCAAAAGTTCGATTGCCTAATAAATACCTTCCTTTGTCGAGTTCATTTCTAATAATGGCAGCCTTAGTTATTACTCGCCCAAGATCGCAATTTAGTTCGATCTCAGCCAATGGTAAACAGGTTGGATTCAAATCTAATGGCTGTTGCACCCACACATTTTCACCTGTCAGCATTTTCCGGCGTGATGTATTTGCGACAAACTATATCAATACTAGCACCTGAATCCCTTAATATAGGAATTTTATGACCATTTACGTAACCCATACTAGTATAAGGTAATAGAAATTTATCCTCTGGTTTTGCACTAATTCTGTTAAGATTAGCAGGAGATTCAGTACTATTCTTAAGTTTTGGACATTGGGGTCTTAAATGTTGATAGGACCCACACTGATAGCATTGTGGCGTCTTTCGTTTTTCATATTTATCATCTGGACGTGGACTTCTAGGTCTATGAAACCAGCTTTGCGTATTAAATCCTGATGACAATTTTGTTTTCAGTTTTATTTTTATTATCTGAACTCAATTTACCTTGAGTTAGTGCATTGTATCTTTCTTTCTGCCTATCCACTACAGGCTTTTTTTTGAAAGTTTCCGCAAACGTTTTCATAGGCATCAAGTTTTTCAGCTAATTTTTTAGATGAAATCATCTCTACCCACTCATCAAGAAAATGATCTCGAATTTCAGGAGGAACTCGACGCTTAAGTTGGTCAATCACCATCAAATCTAGCAACTGATCAAAAGTCTTAACTCCTAGACCAGTCACCCATTCCTTTGCAATAATTTTCTATTTCATAATTGAAATCCACCCATGTGGATTCGGTACTCTTTTGATGTTTCATAAATTTCTGCCTAAACTTTTCCGGGCTTAGTTTAAACCGTCTTAACAATAAATTCTTCACGTGTTCATAGTCTTTAGCTTTATCGGAGGGTTCTCTAGCTATTAACTGGGTTACTTCGTAAGGAAGTAGTCCTAGTAAATGAGATACAAATTCTTCTTTATCAATTTTAGCCCATTCTGCTTGCCTTTCAAACAATAGCAAATATAGACTGATATCTCCTTTCGTATCATCAAATTTCTGCATAAGGTGTTTCTGCATAAGGTGACGCAGCTCCGTTTTCGGCCGGATCTGTCCGGTATTTTGAGACTTTGTCTCTGCTTCAAGTCTTAATCTCTCTAATTCATACTGTTCGTTCCTTCTCGGCTCTTCTGCTTCTTCCTGTCTCCTACGTTCTTCTCTTTCCTCTCTCTCTTTTTCTATTTTCTCCCTCTCTTTCCGTTCTTCTCTTTCCCTTTCCTCTCTCTCTTTTTCTCTTTTCTCCCTCTCTTTCCATTCTTCTATTATTGTTTCTAAGACTCCTTTGACGAATACTTCATCATAATCACTACTTTCAACAATTTTCTGTTTTAAATCGACTATTTTCATATCTGCAGTCACATGAACTCCCAGTTCAGCCGCGAGATTTTGCAAATCTTCCTTACGAGCTCTTCCCAAGTAGGACATTTTTTTATGTTTAAAATTAATGAACACTGTGTTCTTTATATTTCCTCAAAATAGCTCAATTCAATTACTTTAGTTGATTAATGCAGTCAGGAATCACGAAATTAAATGCACTTTGTTAAGTACGTATACCTCAAAAATGAAATATTTAAATTATATGAAGTTCATTCTCTGTACCACATTAATGTGATTAAAATAAGAATAATAACATAGAGCAATATATATATCTACCGTCTGGACAACTAAAATGAATATTAAATATAATATCAAATATGGTAATAAAATACGACAATTTATTATTAACAGGAAGTAATAATCTGGTATCACTAATATTGCGTTCAGTGATGAACTAATAACATAAAGCAATTCTATATAAACATTAAGTAATAATCTGGTATCACTAATATTATGTTCAGTGATGAACTAATAAAATAAAAATACGCACGATTATTCGATCTCGGTTGGTGCCTCCAAAAATAATTAAGACTGTAATACTTCTTTGGCGAAATGAAGCAACTCCAATGATGGAACACAGCAATAACTTTTAATTAACACTAAAAAAAAATGGCAACATACAAACAAAAAGAGAAAACATATTCTAACATTTAAAAATAAATTACATTCTTCGTGCGAGAGTCGCACGAGGCACTTGAGTCTGGTTTCAAATATTGCCATTCACAAATACCTTAATGTTCATCTATTTAAATTATTTAAACTTCAAGATTTTAATATTATTTAAATCTGTTACAATATAAATGTCATTAACAAAAGCTAGCTTTGTATTTTAATTATTAAATACATGGAAAACTATGAACTTTATTACTAATCACAAGGCATTTATAAATATATGAGTATCAAACTTAAATCTGAAAGTTTTAAATCATATTTATTCCATTTCCTTATCTTGCAAATTAATTACTGATAATTTTTACACCCTGTGCTGGCTACAGCAGCTTAAATAAGAATTAACATTGCATATGTAATTTTTGAAAGCTGTACATATATTATATACAAAAATTTCATTATTATGAAACAAAATTTGGTATTTTACACACTTCAATTTAAGAATACAAGAATATTTACTTACTTGATTATTTCAATTTAGGATTAGAAAATCACACTTACTCTATTAATTCTATTCAATTCTAGAGCTTTCTGATTTCCATAAATAACAACAGATGGATCAATCATAGTATGCCTTCTCAAATGCCTATGTACTTGTGGAGTCAAAGAATCAGATACCCGTAGGTCGGACAGTCTTGACAGAACTTCAGGTGGTGATGCAAAACTGTAGTCACAATTTGCTTGCTCATCTCTATGAGTTGAAAATTCAGCTTCATACCTATATTACAAAGAGCATGTTTTAATTCTTTTTTAATTTATAAGCAGTGGCATTTTGAGAATATCTTTCATTTAGCAAACAGACAATACTTCAATACCCTTCACCTACATTTCTCAAATTAACAGTGGGATAATTTAAACAATATTAGCATTCAAGAAAACTAAAAATAAGAACATGAGATAAAATTCTGAGATATTTTTCCAATGAAATCTCAAGGTTACTTACATCAAGGAACAGTAGTCAATATTTGCAGACATATACACGCACACTCATATAAATATATCTTTTAAGAGAGGCCACATTTCAATAACGTTTTTTAAATTCATATATATACAATTTAACTATACAATTTATACATTTCACTGCCCTATTATGATAACATTAAAATAATATAATAAAGAATTGCTAAAGTATAATAACTATCCAATTTTCAAAGCCACACATAGCTTAGTAGCATGTGGAATAAATTTTGAATATATTTTGAGTTGTGGATTAACTTTCAAAATGTGCACGCTATTCTTATAATTTGAATGTTCATTTATTTTCATTTTGTAAGAAAATTTATTCTCACACATACCCAAAGAAAAAAAAACTTTCAGAGAGACAATGTTGGAAAAGGTATTAGAAGCAAATTAAAAAGAGCATTTTTTTAATTCTTACATTCTTTCAATATAAATACTACAAACACCAACCAAAATGAGATCTTAAATATGAGTCAACATTTAACATAACTTTTTTTTTTATTTAAGGAGCTTCTTAAACCAAATATTGCATATTTAAACAATGCAGTAAATTCAGGTGATGTCTAGAAATTAATATCAAACATTTCATTAAAAATTATTTTAATAAAGAACTTTCACAATAATACAGAAATTAAAACAGTTATCTGAATGCAGAAAAAAACTGAGAATGCACTATACAAACAACAGGTTCAAAGCACAAGGGGCCGTTTCGGACAGTTTTAAGAAAAAGATGCTTTTTATTAAAAATATAATAAAAAATAATGAAAAAATAAAAATACTTTTATTTACTTTATTTACGCAGGATGATTTTAACATACCTGTCAAAAATGTACAGGTTAAAGGTAAAAATAAGCAGTTTTTTAATGCATGTTTGGAAATGGCATATGTAAGTACTGGCATGTAAGGATGGGATGAGCAATGGGTAAATATGAAAGACATAATAAACAAATATTTGAATGATTAAACTATTTTACAATAAGTGTTTAAAAGTAAAACCACCAATAATAATATAAGATTTATGGCAGCAGCACATGTATTGTTATACATTAGTATAGATCTCATATATAATGTATTCATATTTCCTGCAGTGACTGAGCACTAGATCTTTATTGGATGTAATGCTATTTTAATAAATCATACTCTTAATGTGCTTCCAGAAGAGGAAATCCATGCATGTCAATTCTGAAAGGTAACTTCTGAAGTAATTGATGAAGTGAGCTAGCACTCAATTATACTAGAACCATATTCCTGTGAGAACAGCTGGAGGAACATTAGAAAGATTCCTGTAGAGAGAAAAAAGATGCCAATACATGTAGCCATTTAAGTGATTAGGTAGAATGTTTAGTCCTACTAAGTAGTTGTGTACCATGACAACACAAACATTGATGGAGAATCGATCATTTCCGGTATGCATATGATTTGTGCCATGTGGACAATCATCTCTCCAAACATAAAAATTGTGCATATTAAACAAACCAAAAAGTGCAAAAGTGGCCTCTTCAGTGAATAAATCTTAAGAAAAGAAAAATTTATTGCAGCCTGTTGTAGGTCCAAAGTTAGAACAATAAGTTAGTTAATACATAGAGAATAACTTTTTGGTTTCAATACTTCCACTCTCTGCAAATGATATGAATGCATTTTTTTCTTCATTTAAAATCCTCCAGCTCATGCCAAATATAGATCTCATGCTTGTAGCTGGATTCTGTTTAAATATACATATTACAGCTTCACCCACTACAACAACTCTATATATAATAGTTTTCTCTGACCACATCACACTTCTAAACATCAACAAATCCATTATCTGCCAGCTCTTTGTTAGAAGGCTCAAATGTTTAGTGATTTGGCAGCAGTCGAATGTAATGCAAAATTATTTGAAAACTGTTTTCTATACATCTTTGAGCAGTTGCTCTGTTTCTATCTCAAAATAAATAAGAATTAAGAGTTTTAAACCAATGGATGTTTTCACCTATCAATCTCAACAATGCCCTCTATCACCTCAGTGTGGTATTTCTAAACATTCCATTAAAAAATCTGCTTGCTTTGGTACTTTCTATCAGCTTTTACATTTTTGTCATAAATTTTAGAATTATCCTGTATGACAATAGTAATAAATCTATTATATCCTCAATGAAAGTACCCATCTTGAAGAATTAAGGCAAATGCTACATTAATTAAAGTATGGAGCTGCTTAATTTTAGCAGACAGCATGGATTGCAATATGTTTTATGAATTATTTACATACATATCAGAAATAAAATCAGAAGTCATAAACAATGATAAATATACAGGATTACTTATTTGTGATTTTATTTATGAAAACTATTGATTTTTAACTATAAAGAATAACTGGAAAATTAAAATATTTTAATGCAAGAAATATTCAAAGGAAATATTATAAGTATCCCTGACTAATAAGGCATATCAATGCAACTCCTTAAGCTCCCAGATACTGAATTATGATGCATAATATTTTCACAAATTATAATAATTTAGAACTAATAAGTAGCATAAAAATAATAGAAAGGAATATGTGTGAGGTATCTGTGAACAATACTTTAATTGTGAAAGTTTAAAACAATATTTGAAAATAAAAGTGGATGTTTATTGCACTATGTTTTTTATAACACTTTATTATTTTGCGACAAAATACAAATTTGAAAACGAATTACCATCTCTTTTTCAAAATATTTCCATCATCATCATGAACAGATGGGTTTGTATCAGAAAAGCCCCTTTCTAATTCCTATAAAATTGTAATAATCATATTTAGCTTTATAATATTATAAAATAATTTAGAATCAGAAATATACTAAAGAGCTTTTATTAAATGAAATCCCATCAGTATAACTTTTTACCTCATCAAAGACATACATTTAAAAGTAAGCATTACCTAGATGACTGGCTGAGGATCAAGAAAAACAATATGAAGATCTGTTTAACCATTACAGAAAGAAATCAGTATAGACTGACTATCCATTATCAAAACTCTAAATCATTAATTCTCAAAATCATTATGGTACTTTTACGTTTTGCCGGCGCAAGCGATAAAGTCGCCAATAATGGTACAACCGATGCCAAACGGAATATTATCGCTGGTAACCTTTTACGCCTTATTTTCAAAACAAGTCGCAGCTTTTTCTTATCAGATTGATTGTTTCTTTCAATACTGACATATAATTACATAGAATTTTTATCAGATAGTTCAGTTTTATGTCTAAGGCCATTTTCGGTAATTAAGTCAATTAGGATGCAATCACAGCGCTTACCCGAAGCCGAAAATATAGAAAAGGTAAAGTCAAGGGTTAAATTCATCAATTCTAATGAGAATGCATTAGCGAAGTAAAGCACTGCAGTTTTCCAAATTTTCTGAGTAAGCTATTTGTACGAATTAAAATATTTCTTGCATTTAAACTTGTGTTCCAAATTAAGATTTAACTTGAAATTAATGTAGATAATTACTGAGAGCATTAGATTTTTGTAGAATAGTTTGCGTGAGATGAGCTCGCTTGGGGTCACATGATATGAACCGGCGAATTAGGATGTTGAACCATGAAAGCATAGTAAATTCTTAAATTAGTGTCTTTTTATAAATGTATTGTCTTGATTTATTGGCTTTTTATAAAATTTTAAGCGATATTAAAATTTTTATGCCTTCAAAATAAAAATTTCTTAAATATTTCTTATGTGTATACTGTATGTTGTCGCCAATAAAGTCTGCTTGGCGAGATTTGCGCCGGCGAAACGGAAAAGTACCATCATTATTTCTGATAAATCTTAAACTGGGATTTCTGTTACAAAACTATAGCATATTATATTATTGCCATTAATTATCAATAATGAGAAAAAAAATACGTACTCGTTGTTTTGCAAATTCTCCAAGATTCAAAACCTATCTTTGGAAATTAAAGGTTTTAAGTTATCATCTTAAATCTAACATTACAAAAGAGGGACATCCGATTCCTAATTGCATCAAGGAATTCAAACTCAAATTTTAGGGAAATTTTTGCTTCTAATTCACAAAAGTGGCGTGTTTATCACAAATAATCATTTTACTTGTACTGGGATGCCAAGTCCCCCTATACTGGTCACACAGTTAATAACTGTATATTTTGTCAGTTTCTATAAAAGGAAGAGGTAAATGCAATAACAGCATTATGATTTAAAACTTAAGCATGATATTATTGCAATTAATTGTTTATAGCAATTTAGCACTTTCAAACAAAATAATAATATGAATTAACCCTTTGACGTGCACGATATTATTTTTATAATTTTTTTTAACTAAAAACTCTAGAAATTGAATATTATGATCCTAGAGACAAATAATATATGAATTTAAAAAATCTACTCTTGCCAATGGGCAAGAGTAGATTTTCTGTGGTGGTTCTGTTCTGTGGGTGGTGGTCGCACTGTGAAACCACTGCGCGTCTAGGACTTTGAAACTTACCGAGGTAAGAAGGGGAAAAAAAACTTACCTTTCTCCCTGCGTGTTTCCAACAAATGATGAAATTTACGAATTTAAAAACAAAATGCATGTAGGAATTGCATAATATATAATATATATATTTTATACATTATTTTACAAAGTTAATCGTCAGAAAAAATTAAAAAATAAACACGTAATTTTTCTATAGCAGTGAAAGTACCTATATAATAAGGACGTTTGGCTATATGGATTAAAAAACTCAGTAAAATAAGGATAAAAAAAGATTCTCTCTCTCTCTCTTTTTTTTTTTTTTTTAAATTTCAAAGAACAAATATTTTTTGTGACACTGTTCAAAGCATGTTTTGTCTTTTTAGTACATGCATGCCCACATTGCACGTTTCGCCACATGTATCTTCTTCTATGAGGTTTCTTCCTTGTGCTACAAAATGTACACTGATTGGATCTAAATTTCACTGGTATTTGTCCAGTGTTATTTAGTTTTTTTTCATCTGGCACATGAAATTTGTGGTTTTTTATGTTAGTGAGGAGGGGCTTGGTCTTTTTGGCCTTCATACGGATCATTCGTTTCCCATTCATACTTATTTTACTCCTATTTCGTCCCAAAATATTCAGAAGATATTTTTAATTTAAATAAAACTTTATGCAATTTCTATTTTTAATTACAGCAAAGTATATTTACATTAAATTTAAACCACAGGAAATAATTTATAAAATCACAATACTAGCTTGGGGAGCAAGTGTGTTGAGGTCAGAGAAAAGTCTCTGGAAAAGAAAGACCTTTTTACTGGGCAGGTGCATGTATTGTTTAGTAATAAAATAACTGTGATTTCAAAACCCCTTATCTATATCCGGGTAAAAATAACCATTCCTATTTGAGAAGCAAGCAAACGCCATTGTGAAGAGAGTAGTTTCAAGGGCGCGACCACCGAGCCTCTAGAGCACTGTGACACAATGCTCTAGTGGTGCAGTGGTCGCGCCCTGAAATCACAAAGCAAATGCCATACATATAGAGGTTTTTTTTATATATATGCAGTTTAATCATTGCTATTTTTTATTGTTTATGATAGAAATCATGATGTGCGATGAATAACTTTTGAAATTTAAAGTTGTTTATATTAATAAAAGGAAGTTATTTTGTCTCATTGAAAACAAATTTTAAAAGGCATCCTGAAGTACTAAGACCTAAAACATGTATGATTCTGCAGTCATTTTGTGTTATTTAGAGGTAAAAGATCAGTAATCAATTGATTTTCACTTAAAAATTTCGGAAGGAAGAGGAGAAAAAAATTCGAAAATTGGTGGTTTCAGGACGTGACCATCGCGCATCAAAGGGTTAAAATATATATCTTTTTAAACAATTACAAAGAAATGAAAGTAATCTCTTTAATGCAAAATTACATTACCCGTGAAGAAAGAAAGAGAGAATGGGAAAAAATATACCTGCACTCGATAGATATCATTATAACTTCCACCAACATTTCTAATAGGAATTCCAGGAACTGTTCTTGAAAAATTTTGTGGCCTTTTGGGTTGCTTCAAGCTTTCTAATGAGCCCCCAACACAATATGTAAAAGGTACATATGCATCAACGGTAGTTTCTCTCTGACTTGTTACAGGTCCATTTCCATTGGAAGCATCCTCAGAATGAAAGAAAACACCTTCAGGTAGTCTTGTAAATATTTGTTCTCTATTAACTTGTTTAATATCATATGACTGGGAACCTATCTGCCAGTTTGGAATTTTAGCTGAAGGATAAGTTTCATCAGAATCAAACAGGTCCCAGTTACTATGCCTAGGATTGCCAGACAGCCTATTTTTTATGACCTCAACATTGCTTGGTCTTGAACGGAAATTTGTAGGCACATCAGCATCTTGATTTTTAATATTTTGCTTCATGTTAAAAACTACAGCAGGCCGTAGAGAGGAATTATTTCTTGTAGAACTGGAATTCTTTTGATGTGCATAAGAATTTGGAGAATGCTCATCACAAAATACTTCAAATTCCTGCTTGGGAGGAGCTTCAGCTACGTAAACAGCTGACTGACTAGGAAAATGGCCAGCTGTAGGATCAGCAACATATATTTGAGGTGGAGCTTTCTTAGCTTGTGGGATTTCTGAGTTTAAACCTCCATCATCAGGGCTATACATAGGGAAAAAAATCATATTATAAATAAGTATTAAATATTTTTATTAATAATTATAAATAAAAATACTTTAAAGCTCATTTTTAAAAATTTAAATCCCATTCATTCTTAAAAATTAATATTCACATTTTTTTAAATTTAAAATTATTCAATCTTTATTGTTCCCATTGCCGCTTTTCACAATATATTAGAATGACAGGCCTATTCGCTCAGTTTTTATTTCTTTCTTTAAAAAAAAAGATACATTTCAAATAACATAAAAGTAAAAAGTAAACATTTTATTTTAGCACGATATAGAAGTAATTGCAAAGCAAGTTACAAAGATAGTTTAATAAATATATATTACACATTTATTAATTTACAAACTATTAGTTTAATCAACAAATATAATTTTGGAAATATTATATATTGTTTTTATTTTACATGCATGATGCCTAAATTTACCTTTTTTGCATTCTGTGGTTTCAAGCATATCTTAGCCAGTGCTATGCCATAACTTTCACCAATAGGAGTTAGATGAGAATAAAAACTATAACCTCAGAGAATTCAACAGAAATCTATAATGCCTTGTATAGAAATTTTGATGATCAGACAGTAGACTACAGTACAGTCTCCCATTAGGATGTTCATATTCATGAAAATATAAAACTATTAAAAGATGGGAAAAGAAAAGTATCAACAGATTAAAAAAGGGGGGGAATTGTGACTTTTTTAAAATAAATCATTAAAAGATATACGGGAAAATACCACAAGCTATGGAAATTTTACTACTACCATTACATCCAATTTTAACTAAACTAAAGATTTGAAGAAAAGAAAAGCTTTTGCCTAATGTTGAATTGAAACAGAAGCACTTGACAATGCAGCATTACTAATTTGAAATCTTCTCTTGCCTCAATCAGCAACTATTGGCATAATGGGGATTACAGACTTTACCTGGAAATCATACTTAAACCAGTAAAGTCCATCTTATCTGCAACTCAAAAAATTTTACTAAGACAATAAAAGGGGAAGAAAATGGTGATCACTGCCAATAGTCATCAAGAATAACTATGACTAATGCTGTACCATATTAAATAACTGTGACTCAAACATATTATTATGAATGGATGCAAAAATATGCACAAATCTAACCTATTGCTCAGGGATGGGATAAACTCATTTTGAATTATCATGCACTCACTTTCTTGATAATGTATACCTGCACCTGGAGGAGATGATCAGACTGCTGATTAAGTATGAATGGGAAGCGTTGTTTAACTCGTTATGCAATCTAAACATGAATACAATTCTGAATTCTTTCCTGTCACCTAAAGCATCTGAGGATTGAAAAAAATACTAGCATTAGAAAATGGCAAATCTTTTGAATTCCTGGGAGATTACATTAGACTGCAATAAGAAACTGCTTGAAATAAAATAAACTCATAAGAAAAAAGGCAGACTGCATTATTTTTTTAAACGGTCTTCACAATTCCATACTATCAATGGACGAAAGGGTCTACATTAGTCTCCTAATATTTTCCATAATAGTTAACGGGTAAATTTTGCCTAATAATGGAAAATACTGAGAGGAGTATTATTTTGCTATTTCAAATGTAGCTGGATTTTATATGCAAATTAGATCAATTTATGTTACATTGCTTTTGCATGTTACATTGCATTCTTTAGAAGTGATATAACTTTAAGATATTATTTTAATTTGTATTCATGAAAGTGTTCTTGTGATTCAAAGAAACGTTTTTGTGAAGTTGAATATACTGATGTAGAACTTCAGAGGTTCAGGGGCATAGCTAGGGTTTCCAGCGCCCAGGGACAATTGAAGAATTAGCGCCCTTTTCTGTGCCAAGAATGGAAAACATTTCATTAAAAAATTTCGTAGCATCGATTTGGCGCCCCTTGGATGCTGCGCCCAGGGACAGATGTCCACCCTTGCCCCACCCTAGTTACGCCACTGCAGAGGTTAAACCATGGAAAGGAACTCAGTCAGACGAACCAGCATGTATAAGCACTTGACAATGCAACATTACTAATTTGGAATCTTCTCTTGTCTGAAGCATCTGCAGTTCAAAGAGCTGATGAGCTGCCTATGAAGTGGTCTCAACCACTCTATTGGTCTCTATTGTCCATCATATTTTTCTTAGATTTTCAAAAATAAAATTAAAAAAACATCCCTTTCAGATATTTCTATTAGTATAATTCCAAAGCAGAATATTATATACAAATTCAAAACAATTCTGATTTTATCTGAGGTTATTGGAGTTATTTTTAGAATGCCTATCCACAAAATAATCCTAGTTATGATCCAATGAAAAGAAAGCAAAGCAGTATGTAAATGAGGGAAAACAATGGTTAAAGGAAGACATTAAGTTTCCCTTGATGAGGTAAACAGGTTGTCTGCAGAACTGTGCTGATAGAACTGTCTGTGCTGATAGAATAGTCTGTGATAGAATAGTCTGGGCATGCAAATATGAATTTAATTTTATGTGCCAGCTGGAAATCCCCAACATGCACTCACATTTCACAAAATATTCCTGCTATATCACCATTTTAGTGTTACAAAAATGAATTTTTAGATACATAATTTAAATAGCAAAGATGCTGTATAATGCAGGTAAAAAATAATAACCTTTTTTGAGATTGAGTAGCTTTTAATGCACGTTTTTTTGTGAGCCTCTCATGAGCCCGCAACAAAGGTCTTACAATATGCTTCCTGTAGACTTTTTCATCACCCTGCTTTGAGCATTCTTGCAAATTTTCTTCTCGCCTAAATAAAAATAAAAAATAGGAATTATTTAGAATTTGATAAAAACATTTGTAACATTTCTTAGTTTAAGCAAACACTGTGTCAAAGTTGAAATAGTAGTTTTATCTTTCAATTATTAAAATAACTCTATTCAACCACAGTCTATTTTTTATACTATTTTAGAAAATTTGGTATATTTGTCTTTTTTTTTTTTTTTTTTTTTTTTTTTTTTTTTTTTGCAATTAGCAGCAAGCAAATATTCAATACTGAGTGAAACTCTCAACTAACGAGTTTAAAATGGATATAGTTGAAAGCTATTTACAGTGGAAGCTTGATTATCCATCATTCTTTTAATTATCACTTTCAATTATCCATCAATTGAAAGTGATAATTAAAAGAAGATTAAAAGAGATAATGCAATGGACAGAATGAATCAACCAAAAAATTAAAGATTAAAAAAAAATCAGGATTTAAAATAGACAATATAATACAATTAAATATGATGATTTTGACATCATATTTAGAATTTAGCAAACATATTGATTTAAAAACTACAGTATTATAATACTACAGCAAATAAAACTATATAGCAAAACGTTTCCATTTAAAAGCTCAGAAATTATACAGAGAATTATTTTTATATTCTCTACGAATAAGTAGCGAAAAAGATTTTCTCAGAAAGAAATCCCCTGAACATGTTTTTCTTACATTCATTTTTCGTATATATGATTAATCTTAGCGATTTACTTTTAAACATGATACATTTTTAAGTTCTAAAAACCATAAATGAGCCACTTTCATGGCATGGAAACAAAATCCGATCATTCAGCATACTGCTCCACATAACTGATAAAAGTAATAAATAATTTGATAATTTTATCAAATGGAATTTATTCTTTAAACTTTACCCTAAATTAATACTTCATCTAAATAATGAATAGCCTTAGTAACTAGAAAGAGTTCCATAAAAGGAGCAATATGTTAAGAAAATTTTTAAGCACAGTAATTAAAGCATATTGATAAACAAGCATTTAGTCTATTAAATTATTATTAGCCATATTGAAATTCAAATGAATTAGAATAAAATCAGATAGATAAGTTTGTATAACTTATATTTTAACAGCACTTATTTTTATCAGAAACAGATTAGTAAATTATGCAGACTAATAGAATGATATTTACTGAACAAGTTCTCGTTCTCTCTGTTCCAGCTGAAGTAAGCAAGTAGCCAACTCCATATACAGATTATTAGCTCTTTCTAATTTCCTCTCATAATGTTCTCGAATATCTTGAGCATGGCGTAGTTCTTCTCTCCTTTGTTTCACTAAGTCTTCCTCAACCAAAGGAACACGACTTTCCTTGTCTTGGAAATTTTGCATATATTCATCTATTTCTTGCCTCCATTTTGCCTAATAAGCATTTTTAATACATTAGTTTATTCATTACAACTGGTTACAACTTTATAATATACAATCTGTAATACAAAATAACTAGTAAAATAATTATACTCTAAATGATATTTGGTAATACATTTTGCTTGCCCTATATCGAGTTTAAACAAAAGTTTCCCACCACTGCAAATACCATCTGCTCAAACAGTACACATTGGCTTTTTTAATCATATTTTGACAAACAAGTTTTGGCGTTTGAAAGAAACAGACTTGGTTTAGAACACCGTGTTGTGAAATTTGTAAAAAAATATCGTTATAATTAAGTACAAGGTGTCTGAAATGGAACTATTATGCTCCCAGATTATAACCATTATTTATTTCCAGTTCTGTTCCAAAACGTCAGCTACAGAATGTCACCAAATCATGTGTACAGCTTTAGGCACTAATGTTGTATCATATGATACTATGAAGGGTTGGTATCAAAAGTTAAACAAGGACTACGGCATTCAAGAAGCACAGCACTCTGACTGATCTATTGATGTTGGTAAGGGCTGCCAGTGAGAACTAGTGGAAGATCAGTATGCAACCGAGAGCTTGCTAAGGAGTTAGACGTTAGTACCATGTTCATTAGTTGTGCTATACACCCCATAAACTTGGCACACAAGTTCAACTGCTGGATGCCACATGAGCTGACTCAAACAGGTAAGGACAGACATGTTGGGCCTACACTAATCTATTCAAATATCATAGGAAGGACAAAATTCTGGACCAGATCGCCACTTGTGATGAAAAGTGGATTTACTTCAACAACACATGCCAAAAAATGGGGTTGGTCTAAATCAGTTGCATTGCAAAGTTGTGCAATTTGACAAAAAAAATCATACTTTGTATCTGGTGGGATTGCCATGGTATTATCCACAAAGCATATCTTGAAAAAGGTAAAACCTTTGACAATAAGGTGTACAGTGAGATGCTAGCCTGTGTTGATGCTGCTATCAAGGAAACATGTCAGACTGAGGTCTGGTGCAAAAAAATAATGTTCCATCAAGATAACGCAAAACCCCATGTGTCTGCATTCACCAGCTGGACTCTGTATGGACACAAATGGGATCTTTTGCTGCACCTACCATATAGCCCTGATATTGCTCCTTTGGACTTCTACTGTTTTTCACACCTGCAGCTACATCTTGCTGGTGCTATCTTATATTCTGCAAAGGACGTCCAAAATGAGATTGAACTATTTTTGACTCACAGCCACCAAGTTTCTGGGCCAAAGGCTTTGAAAACTACCATAACATTGGCAGAAAATCATAGATTTGGGTGGTGATTACTACCTACACTAAAGATACTGCTTTCATGTTTTTTTCTAACTTAATTAAGAATGCCTTTTGGTGGAAAACTTTAAATAAAAACCAGATATTTTTACTTAATTAATAATTTTACAATACAATACCTCTGCTTATTACTCACTGGTTAATAAACTCAGCCTCTTATTACATTCAAATCTTCAAGAACTGAAATAAATATACACTAATCAATAGAAAAACTGCCATTTATTAAACTCAGATTGGCAAAGGACTGATTCTTTAGTGTCAGAATATCTTACTTGTACCCATCAAAGCTTCTCGTAATTCATTCATTTAACACATTATGGTCAATGCCCTTTATCATTCAGGTATGTAATACTTCAATAAAACGGGTTTGACAGAAAATTTCCTACCACCCCCATTCTCTGTGCTTTTGAAACACTGTTTTCAGAGTTTTTTGCCCACACTGGACTTGAGATGGGCAGAATTTCCTTATCTTGAGGTTAACAAAACCCATTCTCTATAGCAGTCGTTCTGAAGTTTTTGTCCTTTCATTATTGCTAGACAAACATTTCCTACCACCTCTCTTCCAAAATTCAACACATGCACGTACGTTTATTTAAATTTAGATGATTATTTTCAGTGTTTTTTCTAAATTAAACAAGAAAAAGTACAGAAAATGTTGATTTAAAAAAGTATCATAGAAGGATAACCACATTCCTCCTTGAGACTACGAAATTCTCCCCAAAGGAGAAATTCCCTCCTTCCTACATTGTAAAATGAGTGCGGGATCTTTCTCGAATACCAGCTGATAGAAGGTGAAAATGCACCTTCTGTATCCTAATATTTAAGGTTTCCCCATTCAAAAATCTTCCCTTTGGGACACATTACTTTCCCTTTGGGATAGACACATTATATTCACAGAGAGTTGTATGAAAATATCAAGAAATGCTTCCATGCATTACTGTACATCAAGTCTTTGAATGGAAAGTAAATGGTAATTGTAGATTAAAGGAAAAAAAAGCAAGAAAAGTATTGGTCATGCTTGTAATCATGAAGGTGCAGATTGACTAAAGAGACAAAGGATAATTTTTTTGTTGGCTAGAAATTTAAAATTGGAAAAAAATATTGGAAGAAGCATATTTTAATTTGTTGCATGCTTAATTGTAACATGCTGAAATGCTAGGTGGAAAGATTTAAGCCTCAATGAAAAGGAAGAATTTTTAAAAGATTTTAATGCTCTTGGTGATTGCAGCCACAGGAAAAAAACTACATTTAAACAGCATTGTGCAGTTTAATTAAAAAAAGAATTATAATTAATAAGGAAATAATATAAAATGCAAATGATTCAAGAAAATGCAAAAAAGATAAAAAATCGAGATGTTGAAACTGCTTTTCTAGAATGGTTTCAAACTATAAAGCTAAAAAAAATGCTTCTATTTTTAAAACTTTTTTCACTAACTCACTAAACATCAGGGAAGAATTTTTATATCAATTCTTATATGGCTCACAAGTTGAAGAAAGTGAAATCCAACATTGTTCATCAGAAATTGCATAGTGAGAGTAAAGAAGCAAACTACCCCACAGGGCATTAAGTACACATCAGAGTAGTTCTTGTCATAAGGGGATTATTAGAAATATTATTTAGCAATGTTAGACAATTGTTTAGCAGTGTTTTGAGTCACATAATGGCAGGAAGAACAAAATGTGTGTTCAGAACTCATTAATCATCCAAATTTAATGTTTTAAATACTAACCCTTTGAAAAGTCCTATTTGAAAGATTAAGTAGAGGGTGATTAATAGTTTTTATTAGCTTTTTCCATTAATATTCTTTCCAAATTTAATTAGCCTTTCAAGAAAAAAAAAAAAAAAATCCAGCTTTATTATTTTATCTAATAATTTAACATTTTACTACCAACAAGGCAATATTAACACCTTAAACAATTTTTCCTAGAATGGGATAATCTTTTTAATTAAAAAGTTTTAAAACATTTCTTATAATAATTTATATATGCAGGGTACCCCTGAATTAATGGGTCAAAATTTAAGGGTAGCAGAAATGAAAAGTTTAGGCAGAAAAACAGGAAATGCTGAGGAAATGGGAGAAGGGCTTTTTATTTACATAATATTACAGTATGTACTGAAATGTTCCTTCACCAACATTGATACAGGCCTAGTAGCATCTAGCAAGTGATAGGCGTACCCTTTCAAAAATGCCAGGTGTTTCATGAACAGTTACAATAGTGACTGAAAGTTTTGCAATGAGGTCCTCATTAGAATCAATTGGAGTTTCATAGGTGAGTGCCTTGAAATGTCTCCGTAAAAAAAAAAAAAGATATTTGATAAATCTGGTGAATGTGCTGACCAAACGACTAGTCCACCTCGTCCAATCCATCAAGCGCCAAAGGTGGCATTGAGGTAATAGCACATTTTATTGTAGAAATGGGCTGGAGCCCCACTGTACTGAAACCACATGGCATTTCAAACAGCAGCTGGAACACTATCAAGTAATTCCAGTAATACCTCTTCCAGAAAGATTCGACACACCATGCCATTGAGTCAATGTGGTAGTAAGAATGGGGCAATAAGAAAATCATTCACAATATCCATCCACACATTAACAGAAAGCCACTCTTAAAAAACATGCGGATGTGTAGCATGTGAGTTAGAGGTGGTCCACTCATGGATTTATGCAAATTATCTCCTTCTCATATAAAGATGACCTCATCTGTGAAAAGTGGTTTTGCAAAGATGTTCAGAGTGATTGTACTCAAGTAACAAATTGTTCAGAGTGCTGCAAAAACCAATGACAGAAATCTATGTGCAGAGGATAATCAGCTTCATCCAGTGCTTGCACACTCTCTATAAATGGTATGAAAAAAGGTCTTCCCTTGTGGAAAATTTTCTATGCAGTGTTTTTGTTCATGCAATCGATGTTGTGCTAGTACTTGGATTACTTTCAACCTCTCTCATAATATGTTCCAATTCTGAAATTAGTACAAGTCCCAAGAAACTGGCATCAAATTTCTTAGCATGAAACAAACAACTATCGCAAAGCTGGCATTGTAAATGCAGACAAATTTTGTGATCTGGCTTTGTCCTATTGGGGTAATGTTCATGGTACAACCTTAATGTCTCTCTTCCACTACAATTCACAGCCCTGTGCAGGGCCTCACTTAGCCTAATTGGGGCCCAGGGACAAAAACTTCTTTAGGGGCTCCCCTCTGCCTCATTACTTCAGTAATGAAGAACCGAACTTTATGGAGGTATTTAAATTTTTCACCTCATTGTAGATGCATAGTAAGAAAATTGACTAGAATGTAAGTTCCCCCTTCTCCAATGGTCAGATGAAATATCGTTCTGTCCTTTTTGTTGATTTTCTGACAAATCTATATCCATCATTAAAAGGATATAGCATATCTGAAAAGCCAAAATTTGACAAAAACGCTATTTAAATTTATAATTAGAAAATGTAAAGATGTTTTTAGAAATTTGAATTAATTAACAAAAAATACCATAGACAAGTCCTATGCACTTAGAGAATAGACTAAAAAGCTTTTAAAGAAAACCTAAAAAAAGGTTCACTAAGGAAGGATATGTAAACTTTCTATTCGATTTGGAGGTCCCCTCTGATGTGGGGGCCCAGGGCAAGTGCCCCATATATTCCTGCCTTAGTCAGACACTGGCCCTGTGCATAAAATGCATGTCTACTTTCTCAGACAGCATAAATTGCTCCATAACAAACAAAATTCTCCAACAACAAAGAATTGTTAGAAGCTTGTGTAATGGCATTCAAATTCAATAAAGTTGTTTTGCAGATGATTTGATAGCACAAACTAAATAAACTTCCATATTCACCATTTTGATTCTCCAAAATTAATCTTTTTCTTAACTACGTCATTAAACTTACATATCGTCTCCTCTAAAAACCTTTTACAAATATAGATACAGCATAACTGTGATGCTGACTCTTATCAACCACGATGTACTCCAATCACTAAATTGACGCTTCCAGGGCTTCATCACTGTTAATGTCTGGATGTTTTAGCCCCTTTAATATTATGTAGATAAAATGTTTTTTCCCCCCATTTTCTCAGCATTTCCTGTTTTCCACCCATTCTGCAACACCACATGGCTTTTCATTTACAACCCCACATTGCTATACAAAAAAATGCTTCTTTGAATGTATTTTACCTAAAGTTTTGCCCATGAATTCACATATCAGTTACTTAATAAATAAATATAGTTGTTTAAATAAACAGCCTCAAGCAGTCACAGATATACCTGATTTTGCAAAAATTTCTCATTTGACACATCAACAAGCTCTTGCGCTGCTGTATCTAAATACAATGATATATGATGGAAAGAAGGTCTATTCCTAGGTTTAGAGCTCCTAAAAAGAAAAATAATAATGTAACTGCTTAACAAATTGCACTCCAAAATATACTGATTAACAAATTTGTTGTTAACATTTATTAAATTTTACCAGGATGTTCGTAACTTAAAACATTTTTTGTTTAAGGTACATATTTTCACTCTCTATACACATATATAACACTAAATATGGTATTAGACTATGTAGAATTAAAAGAATTAAAGTCCTAAGAGACTTATCTCAAGAACTGATGTTTTAGCCCCTTTAATATTATGTAGATAAAATGTTTTTAGAAATTTGAATTTTTAGAAAAATTTAGATTTGAAATTTTAGAAATTCAAATCATGAAACAGATATACAAGTATATTATGGAAACAAAAAGTAGACGGGAAAAAACTATTTAAATTCACTTTCCCCCCAAAAAAAACCAAAGAAAATTGCATAAAATAATAATCCTCCTTAATTAAAATCAGAAATGAAAGTGAAAAAATGTACTGGGATTCTAATGTCAGCAGAAAAAGTAAAATCTACAGAGGGTGCTTACACACTTTTAGAAGGACTTTTGAAGTAATTATTAGAAATGAGAAATATCATCAGCTATTTTTAAATTTATTCTTTTTTTCAAAATGTTACATATAAGCAAGCTGTGAACTAATGGATACGTTTTGCTCTTGCATTATTAACTGGAGAGGGAGAAACAATAAATAATTAGTTAAGATAAAATAACATGCAAAACAAGTATTAATTTAGAATTCAAACAATAAAAACCAGCCTTATATTTGCGAATTTTCACAGGACTAGTTTTGATGGTTTTACCGAACTATCAGCCTCAGCTGCCTGAGAATGAATGAGATAAAGTGATTAGATAAGCTAAGAATGGTTGGACAAGAGTTATGCTACTGGTGCCATCTATTGATGAAACAAGAACTAAAACATAATTTTCTTAATGGCTGAAGGCAAAGATAGATTGGAATTAGGGTCATTAACTAGAACAGAAAGATTTTTTTAAATGTGAAATGCATCTAGAAATCATCAACGATAGAAGATGTTTTTTGAATAATTTTGGCTGCAAAAAAAATTCAAAGTGTGATTTTTGGACCAACAATGCTGGGCAAAAGAGGACTTCTGTGTTTCCTGTTTTCTAACATATGCCTCATGTTTCTCAACAGGAAATTTTAAGACTTTTTTAGTTTGGCCAATGTAAATTAAACCACAGTCACAAGGAATCCTGTAAATAACCCAGGAATTCATATCTGAAATGGGGTCCTTGAGTATGGAACTTAGAATTTTATTCAGAGGAAAATAAATATAATCAACTGAAAGTTAAATTTGTGAAAAATACGTGCAATTTTACAGAAATTTAACTAAAAAATTAAATTTAACAAAGAAAGGAATGACAACAGAATTCTTACAATCTCCTATAACAAGAGTGTGCCTTTTGGTGTGTTGAGATGAGAATTTTTTAACTGCTTGATTAATATTGTTGGATGAAAAGCCCATGTCAATAGCTCCTGCTTTTAAATAATTTAGTTCTTGATTAACAGCCAATTTGGAGGAGAAAATTTGAAGTGCATGAAAAACATAGGAATAAAATGAAGCTAACTTTTGTTTAGTCGGATGACATGATTTAAAGTGTGTTGGAAGGCAAACCAATAAAGATTTACGGTAAATCGTAGTACTGAAGTTGGAGGTGATATGTGTAACCAAAATGTTGGAAAACGGAAGAGAATTGCATACCTCAAGTTCAAAAGTGAACTGAATAGAAGGATCAGTGGAATTCATTGTTGAAAGAACTTTATTTAAATCATCTTTATTACATCTTCTTTTAGAGTAAAAGCATTGTCTATGTAGCAGTTTAAATTTTCAAGTAATTTTGATTCATAATAATGCATGTAGATATCAGCTGGGATGGGACTGAGGGTGGCTTCCCATGGCTAATCCTCAGTTTGCTTGTAATACTTATTTCGGAAAACAAAATGCATTTGTTTCAAACAGAGTTGAGTGAGGAAAATTAGCTCATCAATTTCCATGGAAGAGAAATGAAATTCACGAAGTCTGGTTTCTAGACATCTTAATGCACCCTCAAATGGAACATTTGGTGAATAATGATTTTACATAAAAAAAAAAAAAAAAAAAAAAAAAAAAAAAAAAAACATGAGTAAATTTCTACGTGAAATGCTTTTAAATTTTTTACAAACTCTATGGAAGTTTTTATGGTGTAAATGTAATCTAGAGTTGAAAATCTACATATTTAGCTAATGTGTACAAGGCAGTGCCTAAACTTGATGTTTTTCAGTTTCTGATGCTGAAGCTATTTTCACCAAACACAAAGATTTCCTAAGTTCACAGTGACAGCAATTACGATCCTAAACATAAAAATGCTCAACACTATCAAGTACAATAAATTTTTAAAACCCAGAAAACGTTATACTGATCTCTTAAATATAGCCATTTATGTTACTCATCAGAGTACATAATAATTACTTATTCAAGAATACATAAAGATGTTAACATGATTGTTTTAGAGCTGAATAAAGGCGATTTATCAGTAATTTTTATATATTACATTAAAAAAATGTTCTCCTTTTCAACAATAATTTTGCACCTTAAAATTCTTTTCCTAGATATTATACAACTTTACAGCAGTATATTTATAGAATATTTGTAATTCACCACTAACCAATGATAATTCAGATTATTAATGTTTCTGTACAACAAAAGTTAACATTTCTGTAAACCTGCAATGTTAATATGACTTTCTTTCTTCCCAAAATACTTTACTGAAAAACAGTAAGCTTAATGAATGCATACTTAACAACTGATACTAATATAAGAATATATTAATTGATACTATTAAGTAAAAATACGCTTAAAAAGAGTTTGAATTAGTTTTACATTTAAATTTTAATACTTAATTTTATAGAATTTAACAAAAACAAACAATTATTCAATTATACCACTTTTTTTGGGGGGAAAAGAAAAAAATAAACCAAATGAACTTTACTTACCAGCATTGTTTCAGAAGTATTCGAAAAGCTTCTGGACATGAATCTGGTACAGGCAAATGAAGACTGTTATTACCTACACCCCAAATGATAGCTGAAGAATCGACATCTTTATATGGCACTTCTCGAGTCAGAAGTTCCCATAATACAACCCCAAATGACCTAGAGTAGAAACACTTATTCAGCATTTGTCTTATAAAATATTTATAAAAACTAGAATGCACAACTGAAAAGTAGAAGCCCAGTAGAGGTACATAATGAAAGAATACTTTTCTTGCAAAGGATAAAGTACTTATTTATATGATATATTAAGAGTAAATAATTTTGCATTATTTATTAACAAACCTTAACAATAATGGTGGAATTATTAATGCATATAGGAAATTTATAAGAAATTTAGAAAATTCTCTAGCTGCTTTAATACGCATTCAAGAATTTATGTAACACCTATATTGTGATATTGCATAAATTAACTATACAATTTTGAAAAATAAAAATTTTTTATTACATTTATTTCAGCATATATATTAAATAAATTGACTAGAAAAATAAAAAAAAGCAAATCAAAAGTATTTTTTCTTTAAAAATATAGATTACTCGCTATAAAACCATCACTGTTCTTTATAATTATCACAACCAAGTTAATCAAAACTCAGATTATATAGAAGCAAAAAGCAAGAGAATCAAAATGAGAAAAAAAAAATTAAGTACTAACCAAATATCTACTTTTTCTGAACAAGGATCATGGCGTATAACTTCTGGAGCCATCCATGCCACAGTGCCAGCAAAAGACATCTTGGTGCTGATGTCATTTAATTGACGACAAGTTCCAAAATCAGATATTTTCAGTACCTCATTCATGCTAATTAACACACTGCATGATAAAAATACAAATATTTAGCATAAACAGTAAAAGAGGTTAACATAAAAATATGATGCAACAAATAATATAGCAAGAAGCATAGCTGTTTGACAACAATAATATTAAAGTACACTTAATAGCAAAGAACCACTGTTGTATAAAAGTCATAAATATTATCCTAAAATTTTTCTTGATTCTCTTACATAATTCAAAAAACTCCCAAACAGTTTTTAAGAATCATGTTTAAAAATATACATGGACAAAAATTTAAAGAATTTTTTTTTTTAAATGTATAGTAAAAATGGAATGAAATTTCAACTAAAAACATTTTAAGAGGAGACAAAAAATTTCATAAAATCTGTAAATTTCAAGGTACTGGATATTTTACAACAAATGTAAAACATTCTCAGCTTACAGTTTAAAATATTGTAAGGCAATAAACACAAGTAAAAAGGCTTTCAGAGCAGCCTTAGCAAGAATAAAGCATAGCATTGCATATGTAACATTGCAATGAGGGCAGGGTCTTGAATACTAAAGTTTGAAAAAAAATGAAAGAGAGAGAAATTTTTATGTAGCAAATAAACAGTTTCTAAACATCCGAGTAACAACTGATAAGCCAAGTCAAAGAAACTGAACAAAAGATTTCTATTGAAGTATAAGTATATTTTAAAGAATATTATTTTACGTATATTTAAAGATATCTTAAGGTACTTTTTTCAGTTGTTGCTATAAAATATTTTCTCATCAGAAAAGTTTAATTTAGATTGGCTGAATGAATTTTTTCATTCATACAGATGTCATGTAAGGCTTATCTATAATTAATAATCTAATGCACAAGATTTAAATAAAGAGTTAATTTCTTGAGCAAGAAACATTTAAATATGAGTCCGGTTATCAAAGAATGAATTCACAGACTTGTATGGAGTTCATATAACAACTTTTTACATATAGGGAAATTCTGCATGTGGAAGAGGAGGAGACTGCATATTTCAAAGAGATGATGCATCCATTCATTCATCAAGTAATACAAGAGTGAAACTATACAAAATTATTTTTTGCATTTCCTTAATATGAGTCTCAAAGAAAACCTTTGGGGATCCTATCCAGTACTGTTTATCAACATGCACAGCAATTTTTTATGTTATCATAATTGAAAACTATGATTGCTCAAGTATAGTAGCACATTTTCTGTGACAGAATTTGAATTTATGTCAGATATCATTTTTAACTTACATGAAACTAAGATAATTATAAAAATTGTTAATTTAAGGCCCTTCAGCAGTATGCTACTTAATGTTAATTAGAAAACATTTTAATGTCTTGATTCTGTCTGTAATGCATTTTATGTTCTTTGTATATAATCTTAGTGCATACAATTAAAGATTTATAAATACTGTAAAATATTGCTTTTGTATAAGGATACTTTACAGTTTCTTGTACATTTAAAGCTGTCTTAAGATTTTTATCTGATATTGCATTAATTATTTTATACATTCATAAACATAAATCTAAAAATAATTTATATAATCTAACTGTACACTGAAAGAGCATTATAAATATAATAAAAGAAGTACCTTTCAAACCATGCACTGAATTTCAAAAAACCTAGATAAATGTGAAATAAAAAGAAAAGAAAATAATAACAAAATAAATAATAATGTAATTTATGCAGTAAATAAATTAATAAACAAAATTATAAAACAAAAACATAAATTTTTCAATCAAAATTAAATGAAACAAATGTAAAAGTGTTTTTATGCTTCATATAATAGCAATAAAATACAAAAGCAAAACAAAAAAGCAAAATTGTGTGTGTACACAAAATTTGAGAAAATTTTGTGTACACACACAATAATACATCTATTAGACAAACACCCTATGATTGTAATGATAGTTTTCAACATTTATAAAAATGATTCATAGTGTTTAATCCCAAAAAACTGCAAAAATACTATCGAGGACATTGTCTACATGTCTAATGTTGAAAATGATGTTTTTATTGCAAAGGGTAATTTTGTTTCTATTAATACTTTATTGATTACACAACCATTATCAGAAGGGATATCTTCTTCTGACAGCAATTATATAACCATTGGAATTTTCTTATAACACTCATTCAATCAGCCACTAAATTGCAATCCAAACCATTTAGTGATTGCATTAATTGCAGACATTTTATGAGCAGTACTGCAGTTTTGAAGGTTAATCAATATCTTCTTCTTCAGAAACTGTAACTCACTTTTTCTCTCCTGTAACCAAGACCTGTTGTCGAGTGGGACCAACTGTTACAGACATTCATAAACACTTCCTCATTTCCAGTATGATGCCATCTTTTGAGAACCTTATGATTGATAAATGAAATCATATCTCTTGTTATCTTTTTTTTTAATCTACCTGCTTTAGAATTTCATTAAAATCTGTCTATCATTTCTGGAGATGATTAACCAAATGTAAAAATTCTCTTCATTTTTAATACATGTGTATGAGCTTCAGATGAGCATAGTTTTTCAGCCATTATTCAAATATAGTGCATGAAATGCATAATACTATAACTTGGAAGACAAAAGAAAAGCAAATAGAATTTCTAATTTCCAAGTAATAGCTAATTTAATATCAAAATTTTAAATCTAAACCACATGCAAATACAGTAATTATTATTTTTTAATTAAAAAAAATTCATAATTTCTGATTAATGGATATTCTTCATTGTTTTACTCGATTTAAAATTCCATGCAACAAATCTGAATTTAAAAATACAGGGGGGGAGGGTCCTTCATATTTTATGACTACCTGCACTCTCGCAAAAAGTCATTAACTCATTGTTGACCTCGTGAATTGGCCAAAAACATTTATTTGGCTATTTTATGGCTCACAAATACTATTCTACTTATAAACAACAAACAAACAAAAAATTTACATGAAAAAACACTTTTCCCCCAAAAAATCTATCTAACACATTTACATTTTTCATTTTTACAGTCAGTAAACTTTTTTTAGTGAAAAATCCATGTGTATTCAAACACGTGTGGTATGCATATCCTTAGGTTAGCTATTATCACATGCATCCTCAAGAATATGTTCAAAACATGAATAGTCTACCAAATGTCGAAATTAGGGATATAGATTATTGGAAAGTATCCAAAACTTTTATAAATCTTATTGCATAGGTTCACAAGCATTATTAAACTTTAAATGAAAGTAGTTAAATATATAGAAAATTATTTACTGAAGTAATGGCACAAGTCAATATAAAAACAAAAATATTAAACACACATGGAAATAAACTGAATTGTGAATGATTTTGTTTTCAAATACATCTGATATGAATTCAATTTGAAGAAAACAATAATTACTACAGAATAAAAAAGGAACTTCAGATACATATATACTTTTACACACACTTTTCATACATTTAAAAGAACATATTTAATATAAAATATATCATACTTTGGTGATTTCAGATCCCTATGGACTATTCTGTTTTGATGTAAATATTCCATTCCTGATACAATCTGATGACACCAATTCAGAGTTTTGGCAGGTGGTATATCTCTGTCACTTCGCAGCATTTCATATAATTGACCATATGGGCAAAATTCCATGACGATGCAATAGCATGGAGATTGAGTGCATACACCTCTGTTAATAAATATATATATGTTGTAAACTATATTTTTAAGAAGCCTTTATAATCTGAAGTTCTGAATTAATAATTGTCCTTTAAAAAAGGCAAACATTAGAGCAGATTTTTTTTTTTATTTTTTTTATTTATTTATTTTTTTTTTAATCTTAGTACAAACTAACTGTACAACATTTGAACTTTATGGAGAGAAAAAACCAAATCTAAAATATTTCAGCTAAATTATTTGCAAATAACTAACATCTGACATAGTTAATTATGCCTGGTTTGAAAATATGTAAGGAATTTTGAATTAAAATTTGTGCATTTTCCCTTTCCCAAAAAAATTCATTGCATAACTTAAACACAGTATGAAAATCACAGATTTAATATTTATAAATTTAGAAATAATATTACTTATAACAAATAGGAAAACTACCAAACAAAATTTTTAAATTAAAAAAAGGGGGTATTTGATAAAAGACATTGGTAGAAAAATTTAAAGAAACACTCATGCAACTTAATTGATTTTGCTGCCAGCTAAGAACATGAAATGCATGCAAATTTGACATTTATCATGCCTGACATACTTTTAAAATGCAAAATTGCCTGTTTCTGGAAAATGTAAAATTGAATAAGAATATACAAAATATGGTTAAAAGAAAGTTAAGGAAAAATTAGTATTACATTTTCTAAAATCATAAAAAATAAATAAGTAAGTAAAAGAAGAAGAAGGTGTATAATCACTTTGGAATGAACTGCAAGCTTTATAGCAATTTTCAATGCTGTACATTAGATTATCCGAGAATCCCTGTGGTGATGAAGTGTATTCCCAATTGCCTCAGAGATTCTGCACTAATGAAGTATATTCTGGAGATAATAATTTTAAGTGAAATCTGATAGACTTCCTTTAAAACATTCTATCAGATTTAAATCTGATAGAATGTTTACAGATGAGGCTGGTACAATCTGATAAAATGCAGATTTTAAAAAATGAATGGACTAAGGAAAACTATGGAAGAGGAATGGAGAAAAATATGACGGCTAATTGCATATCTTGAAAATCAAGAAGCAAATTGACAGTACAGAGGTAAGGCTATCAAACAGAATATAATAATTAAGAATTAATAATTTTCACTTAAAATATAATTAGAATATAAAATATTATATCTTTAAACAATTCTTCACTTTAAACATTAATTCTATTAGATATAAAAAAAAAATATATGGTATTTTATTCAATGAGATTCAAATACTCTCCTGCTAAAGTCGAGTTATCACATATTCATGTTACCATGTGCATTCAAAGATTTATACATAGTAACCGTTACTTTCTTTAAATATGACATCATACTAATAATATAACAACTTCTCACAGTCCAATACAAATTTTAGAACAGAAATAAAAACCTTAATTTATATTCCATTCAGACTTCTATAAATATGTTATATTATTAAAAATCAAATAAATAAGTTTTATTTGTTATGCAGGGATTTGAGAATGGCATTTCTTTAAAGAAAAAAGTCAGTACAACAAATGTCATAGTAAACATGAAAGAAGACAGTAATCATGTTGCTTTCCAAAGAAAACTGTCTCATATTGATCTTTTAAGAAATAAAACTTAATGAGGCACTAAGTTACTTTGAATTGAAGACAGGATGAAATAGCATAGCTCTGTGGTTTTATATTTTACCACTAATTAGTCAATACAGAAAGGAGCTATATTATGAGAAAAAATTTAATATAAAATTAAATTATAGCAAGTTCTGTTAGAAGCCATAACTTATATTGATTGATTATTATTTTACAAGCATTTATTAAGCATAATGTCTAACACTAACTTGAAAGTTACAATATTAGGATGCCTTAGATGCCTCAAGTGCTTAATGTCTGTTTCCTCTTTTTCACGAACTTTTTTCACTGCCACTAATTCTCCATCCAGTTCTCCAAGGAAAACAGCACCTTGGGCACCACTGCCTACCCACTGTAAATCTTGAATATTTTCAAATGGTATTTCCCATTCATCTGAAATAAAATAACGATATAGCAACATAACGTCTTGAATGCAACTGTCATTAAAAAATAATAAATTGCACATATATAAAAAATAATCTGACATGCACCAGAAGTAATTAAAAATCCCTCAGTTCTACTTCAAGTTTAAGGAAACTTAATCATTCTTTTAATTTTGTTATTAAATCAGTACTTAATGCTTATAGCAACAAATAAAATGCCATGAAACTTTTATTAAAATGCATAACAGTTTAAAAAATCAGAATTGAAGATTCAAAGCAATTTTAAAAGTACAGAATTGAAAATGAAATTTATGAGACAGTGGAATGAAAATTTCAATAAAATCAAGGCACTGTTTTAAAAAACTATTACCAAGGTTTCATATGATTAAAAGTACCTACTCAAAACAAAGTTTATGAAAAGAATAAATATTAAAACCACCATAAGGAAATTCAAGAATAACTTCATACTGAAAACGCTGATTAGAAAGTAAAAAATGCAAAATTTTTATTATTATAACTGATTGGTAAAATACATGGCATAGTCTAAAATTCCAAACGCAAATTCCTAGGAAGAATTTCTTCTTTTAACAAATGGTATTTTTCAAATACAGTCAAAAGTCGTTAATCCAGACTCGTCGGGACTTCGACAATTCCGGATTATCGATTTTTCCGGATTATAGAACATCAGTTTAAATCTCGTAAGATGGCATGCAGAAATTCTAAAATTAAAAATATGAAACCGTAATTTATGAAATAAAGAACAATTATAATCTAAAGGGTATCAAAATTTACAAAAAATAAAAGCTTAATATTTATTTGTTTACTTTATTAAACATTTCTTTCAATTTAAGTTGTTTAAGTTGCTTCATTTTATGTGATAATACTTTTCTCTTTGATTCAATAAACAGACATAATTTCTTGTTCAGTTACAAAGTTCCGCTGTTCAAGTCCCGTAATTGCTTTGCCGAGAATACCGACTAACTTGTCAATCGAAATTTTTTCGTTTTCACTAACCTCTCTGTCACCTTCTTCATGTCTTTATCCATGTTTTGCAGCAATTCCACTTTTTGTTTGATGGACATCGAAACATACTTTCGTTTTGTAGATCCTTTGGGAGCTCCAGCATCGGAAATTCTATTTGACATAATCGAAAGTTCAAGTTTACTTTTATAAAATTGCTCTTACAGTCTGAAAAAAATAATAAGCCAATTCGAAGATTAAGGAACAACGCAATCATCAACATTACCTGAAATAGATAATTAGATAATTTTAGCTTATACTGTCCGTTATACATAAAACGCGCACGCGAAAACGTATTCTGCACTTGCGCATATGCGCAGTATATTCTGCATGTGCGCAGTCGTAAACGCCTATGCGCATGTGTCAATGATGCGCATGGGCAGAAAGTTTTTAGCTTTGAGGTCCGGATTATAGGTGTCCGAATTAACGACTTTTGACTGTAGTTCACTAATTAATTAAAATTATGCCAAAGCAAATGAAGAATTTCAGACAGATACCTAAATCAAGCTTTCATGAGCCACAAACATTTTCCATGGCATTACGAAAGATTTAACAACAAATACTGCAGTATGTCATATCATTAGACACAATAACACGCCGAATAAATACTAATTCAGAAGTCAAACGACCAAAATCAGCGTTATACCTACAAAAATTTTTCACAGGACTAGTTTCGATGGTTTTACCGAACCATCATCTTCAGCTGCAAAACCGCAAATGAACAAGATAGGAAATAATGATTAGATAAGATAAGAAAGCCTGGACAAGAATAAGCAAGTGGCGCCATCTGTTGGCAAAACCAGAACTAAAACATAATTTCTCTAAAGCCGAAGGCAAATTTGGATTGGAATTAGGATCGTTAACTAGAACAGAAAGATTTTTATGAATGTGAAATGCCTCTAGAAAATCCAGTTCTCCAATGGAAGATGTTTTTTGAATAATTTTGGCAGCAGAAAAATTGAAGTGTGATTTTCGGACCAACAATGTTGAGCAACAGAAGACTTCTGTGTTTCCTTTTTTCTAACATATGCCTCATGTTCTTTGACGCGAAATTTTAAGGCTCTCTTAGTTTGGCCAATGTAAATTAAACCGCACTGGCAAGGAATCCTATAAATACCCCAGGAATTCATATCCGGAATGGGGTCCTTGAGTATAGAAGTTGGAATTTTATTGATGGGAGAATAAACAACCCGAAAGTTAAATTTCTGTAAAATATGTGCAACTTTATAGCTAATTGATGGAAAGAAGGGAATGACAACAGAATTTTTATAATCTCCTAAAATAAGAGTGTGGCTTTTAGTGTGTTGAGATGAGAATTTTTTAACTGCTTGATTAATAATGTTGGGTGAAAAGCCCCTGTCAATAGCTATAGCTTTTAAATAATTTAGTTCTTCATCAAGGCCTAGTTTGGAGGAGCAAACTTAAAGAGCACGGAAAACATAGGAATAAAATGAAGCTAACTTTTGTTTAGTCGGTAGTCGGATGACATGATTTAAAGTGTGGTGGAAGGCAAACCGATGAAGGTTTACCGTAAACTGTAGTACTGAAGTTGGATGTGTTACGTGTGACCAGAATGTCGAGAAACAGAAGAGAATTGCAAGTCTCAAGTTCAAAAGTGAACTGAATAGCAGGATCAATAGAATTCATTGTTGAAAGAACTTTATTTAAATCATCTTTATTACCTTCAAACAGTGTAAAAGTATCGTCTACGTAGCGGAACCATGCCGGGAAGTCAATTAGCTATAAAGTTGCACATATTTTGCAGAAATTTAACTTTCGGGTTGTTTATTCTCCCATCAATAAAATTCCAACTTCTATACTCAAGGACCCCATTCCGGATATGAATTTTCCTGGGGTATTTATAGGATTCCTTGCCAGTGCGGTTTGTAATTACATTGGCCAAACTAAGAGAGCCTTAAAATTTCGCGTCAAAGAACATGAGGCATATGTTAGAAAAAAGGAAACACAGAAGTCTTCTGTTGCTCAACATTGTTGGTCCGAAAATCACACTTTCAATTTTTCTGCTGCCAAAATTATTCAAAAAACATCTTCCATTGGAGAGCTGGATTTTCTAGAGGCATTTCACATTTATAAAAATCTTTCTGTTCTAGTTAACGATCCTAATTCCAATCCAAATTGCCTTCGGCTTTTAGAGAAATTATGTTTTAGTTCTGGTTTCGCCAACAGATGGCGCCACTTGCTTATTCTTGTCCAGGCTTTCTTATCTTATCTAATCATTATTTCCTATCTTGTTCATTTGCGGTTTTGCAGCTGAAGATGATGGTTCGGTAAAACCATCGAAACTAGTCCTGTGAAAAATTTTTGTAGGTATAACGCTGATTTTGGTTGTTTGACTTCTGAATTAGTATGTCATATCATGTTACTTGTATTATTCTGCTTCAAACTATCTTCTTGTAATGATTTCAATTAATGATTTCCAGAAACTTCTAATCATAGATTATACAAGAAAATAGATCTCAATATAATTAAATGAATATGGCATACTAGAGGAAGATCTTAATTCTGTTGGCACGTGAAATATATAATGTATTTTATCATTCCGTGTAAACACTTTGTTTTTTCATAGGTACCATTCACAACTTTTGCTGTTTCAGATGGGGTCCCAAATTTTAAAGTTAAATCACAAATGTTCTAACTAGTTTTGACAGGTGTGCTTGTCATTCAACATAAATAGCTCTATTAATGCCTGGTGTATTCTCAATGGCAAGACAGGATTAATACAACATATTAGCAATTATTAATAGCTTCATATTTATTTAAGAGCCAAATGACCACCTTTTCTCTAATTTTACTTTCACAATATAGTACTTTACAACAGTATAAAAGGAATTTCAGCCTATGAAGAAGGGCTGATAATACACTTGACAATTAAATAAACTCAAGAAATAAATTCGAAAGATTCAAAAGATCAAATTTTAAAAAATATGAAAAACAGATTATTAAATCAGCAAAATATAAATTACATTCAATTTCTGCATACATAAGACAAATATTTTAAGCTTTGAGAACAAAATGAAATGACATGAATATAGAATAATAATGTTTTTGTTATTTCCCATATAAAAATTTCACGATAATAATATTCTGCTTTAAAACATTTTATCAGCAAACAAAATAAGCAATAATTGCTGTGATCTTTAACCCATTAGCCGCTGGTTTTGCGTTGACACAACGGTCATAATAAATGCATATATAAATATAACTACCTAAGATATTTTATACCAGCAGATGCTTTTATGCAGGGAAGATTATGAAGGTTATTTCTGTAAAAAAATATTTGCCTTCAACAATCATTTTGTTTATAATAATTAATCTCATACTTTAAGCAAAATTTTCGACCGGGTATATTTGCTGAAAATATTTAACGAAAGAATCGCCGTCTTTATGAGTGATCTATTTTTAGTCAAGGTCACCGTTTATCAGAACATTAGGGCATCAGTCAGATGTTTATATTTGTGTTGGGAGTTGGGAAGGAAGGGAAAACAGGTGTTGCGCTGACTCGACCGTCAGCAGGAAATGGGTAGTCAATCTCCTTTTTCACTCATTCCTTTCGATGTTCTGGTTGTTTAAAAATGCCTAGAACGAGGTATCTTACGTTAGAACAAGCCCTTCAAAGATTTTTTGATGAAGAAACAGATGATAATAATGTTAATAATGACCAGAATGAAACTAATGTTGTTGTTCCCCTAGAAATATCAGAGGCTAGTTACGAAGAAGAAAGGGATGACAATGTTTTAAATAATGATATTTTACCAAATGATACTGCTGGGGAAGTTAAAATTCACGTAAGAAGTAAGTTTCAGCCTTCTAAAAGCAGTTATAGTTATACTAAAAAGTTAAAAAAGCAGAAGACTGAAATCTTGAAGTGGATAAAAAAGGAAGTGTTAGTTACGTCTCAGGAAGAACATGAAGAAAGAGATAGAAGAGAAAGTATAAAAGACAAAACACAAGGTAAAACTAGTGCACAGATTTTCGATTTTCTTTTTGGTTTAGACATTTACTGTCTTCTCGTTGAACAGACAAATATATATGCTCAGGAAAAAAAAAAAAAAAAAAAGAGAATTTATTGCATCTGAAGCCTATATGAGAAGATTTATTGGAATATTATTTCTTACAGAATATCATTCTTTACCTCAAGAAAAAATGTATTGATCTTTTGATAAGGACATTTCTGTTTCTGTTGTATGAGAATCAATATCACGTTTGCAGTACAGGAATATGAAGCAGAATTTGCACTTGACAATACTGATAAATTATATATGGTGAGACCGTATCTAAACTTACTAAATATCCCCACGTTTTACTATTGGAAATATAAAGTCTCTTTTAGATTTCAAATGCGAGAATGCATTATTCTTTTTGCAAACTCCTATTGAGAGTGTAGAATTAGCCAGAAATAGATCAGCAACAGGAAGACCTAGTAAATTTAGTATTCAAAAACCATTGCATGGAGATGGTAGACATTTTATCATAAAGTCCATTGATAACAAAAGACTTTGTTGTAAAGAGTACCATAGCCAGATTGTTTATAGATGCAAAGTATGTAATGTAGCTTTATATGGTGATTGTAATCAAGCTTTTCATGCTTGAATCTCTCAAATGAAATAATCTGTATTTGTAAAAGAAATACAATGTATATTTTGATATTGAATTAATTACAAGTAAAGTGATTTGTAGATTTATAAAACGTTATACAGCTAAAAAGTAATCCTGCGCTCTACTCAAAAGAAACATCACACGAGTACAATCCTACTCACTAAACATCCATAGTCTTATTCCGCTGACGTTGCGCGAACGCAACACTCGCTTTTTTCACAGGTAAGAGCATTTTTTTTATTTTCAATGTAAATTTATGTTATAAGTGCTTAATTTAATATTTGTTATTATTTTCATGAGAAAAGAAACATTCCTTGTAGTTTTGGCGGTTAATGGGTTAACAAGATATTTTAATAATTAAGATATAAAAAATTATTTCTGCTCTTGGAAACAAAAAAAAAAAAAAAAAAAAAAAAGAGAGAAATACCTGAATCACCATGTTCACCTCCACCAGTTTTACCAAGAATACCCCAAACAGGACGCAAGCAAACCAATAAACCATCCAGCCATCCACTTTTTGATCTGATATTTGACATAAAACTAGAAGTCCCTTCCAAATTAATAGGTGATCGCACAGTTGTCAAAGCTGCTGGACTACTAGTAGAGCTACTTAAAGCAGCAGCTCCTTCAACAGAAGTAGAAACTACAGGTGTACTTGTAGATCTGGCAGGAGGAGAAATAATTGCAGTATTTTCTGGAGGTGTGCTGGATGATTTAGAAGAGTCTTCATCTTTGATACACAATAAGCTGTAACAATAGAATGATTCATTACTGTTATATTTTAGCACTAACATGCTTAAAAACAAAACTGCTCTGAAATTTGCAAATGTAGTTTTTTACATCATTATATTTTATTAAATCGGCAATTTAATTTTAAAATGAACATTTCTTAATGTGTGATCTACTATAGTGATAATAGCAATATTCTTCTCTCTTACAATATTTATGTCAAAACATTATTTTTATACAAAACTTTAAACCTTTTAGTCACCCACTCATGTTTTTTTAAATCTTCAGTAATATTCATACAACAAATGTCAAAAAGAAATTGGACTTAAAAAATATCTAAAAAATATAAACTATATTCTAATTTTTGATTCTGCATAACAAGCGATGTGCAAATGTACTGAATATAATTTTGCTTTATAAGGGTTATTATAACAGTATTTTTTAAATGGTCAGGTGCTTTATTTAATAGCCATTAGCCTAGCACTGCTACAAGGGTCATAAGCGGTGACCATTTCATTATGGAAGCACCTAATAGGTAGCCAGCCACCATTGGCTCCTATGTGGGGATGAACAGTTACAACCATGCCTTCTCCAGGATGTGAACCTCGGTATACTGCTATGGCAGTCAGGGTCACTAACCACTATACCAGCTGAGCGGCTACTACAACATTATAAACACTGTAAACTAATGCTCCACATTCTTCTAATAGGTGATAAAGTTCATCAATATATTTGTGACTGACCAACTGTAATATCTTTATTATAAATATAGATTGCCATTGCATATTATCCTACGATGAAGCTAAAGAAAGACTGAAGTAGTTTTAGCATCAGTCTATAATACGAGGGCTATCCAGAAAGTAGATTACGTTTTGGAATAAAAAAATAAACAAAGTATAGGAAACAAATTTTATTATATACAGATGAAAGCCACACTCAAATACTACTTTTCTACATAGTCACCATACAAATTAAGGCATTATTTATCGTAGCGATGTACGAGCTTGGAAATTCCTTCGTCGAAAAATTCGGCCGCCTGCGCCTTCAACCACTTCGTTACCTCTTCTTGCAGCTGTGCATCGTCATCAAAACGCTGCATAGCCAGCCACTTCTTCATTGCTGGGAATAGGTGGAAGTCGCTCGGTGCCAGGTCGGGACTGTACGGCGGATGAGGAAACAACTCCCACTTAAAAGATTCAAGAACTTTACGAGTGACATTTGCCGTGTGGGGCCGGGCGTTGTCGTGAATCAACAAGATCTTAGAGCTCAACATTCCTCTGCGCTTGTTTTGAATTGCTCTTCTGAGTTTTTGGAGAGTTTGGCAATACCTTTGAGAAGTTATTGTAGTGCCTCTTTCCAGGAAGTCCACCAAAATTACACCTTTTCTGTCCCAAAAAACAGTCGCCATCATCTTCCTTGCCGACATTGTTTGCATGCATTTCTTGGGTTTTTGGGGAGAACTTGTGTGCCCCCACTGCATTGATTGTAATTTCGTTTCACAGTTCACATGTTTCACCCATGTTTCGTCACCAGTAACGATGCGATCGAGTAAAGAGTCACCATCCTTATGGTAAGCGTCCAAAAAGTTCAACGCTGCAGCCATTCGCTGGTTTTTGTGGTCCTCTGTCAAGATTTTTGGAATCCATCTTGCACAAAACTTGTGGTAACCAAGCTTTTCGCTGATGATTTCGTGCAACAAACTTCGCGAAATTTGTGGAAAACTCAAAGAAAGTTCCGTTATTGTGAAATTTCGATTTTCACGGACTTTAGCATCGACTTTTTCGAGAAGTTCGGCGGTCACTATGCTGGGTCTCCCACTTCGATCTTCGTCGTGAACATTGGTTCGGCCATTTTGAAATCTTATGACCCACTGACGCACTCCACCTTCAGTGATAATGTTGTCCCCATAGACTTCACGAAGCTGCCGATAGATTTCTATCGGTTTACAGTTTTTTGCAGTCAGAAACCTTATTACTGAGCGCACCTCGCAGCTCGCGGGATTTTCAATTAACGCAGACATTTCAAACCGTCACAGTATCTGAACGGAGCACAGCACGAACCTCTCACTAGCACGGCTAGATGCAGACTGAGCTGCGCAACGCTCTGACCCCAAGATGGCCGCGCTAGCCCCGCCCCTAGCGGACACAGACGGAAACGTAATCTACTTCCTGGATGGCCCTCGTATATTAGGCCACTACAGATGACAATTAAAGAAGATAATTAATAAAAAATAAAAGAAGATTCCCAACTAAAGATTAGAGAAAATAATCAAGGGTGATAAAATGTGTGAAAAATAAATATTTTATGAATGATTATGTAACTTAAGTTTCCAATTATACCATGTTAATGGCACTTCTTAAAAAAATTAATTTTTATTTACAATTTATTTTTTACTTGCAGGTTCTTTCTTAATGCATATTTCTATTTCTTCAAATTTTAATAAATCTTTCATAACAATTTTTTCTAAACAGTAGACCATGAGATAACTTTTGATAGGTTGTGACATTTGAAAGCTTTTGTTTTCTTATGCAGTTATATATACTTATTTAAAATTATGGTACTTGTTGGTTAACCAGTAGTTTATATACCACAAGCAATCTGTTGGTGCCTTTTGATGATGAATTTTTTATTTCCAATGATTATTGTTTGGCAGCTGAATTCAAAATGGCATCAAAACAGATTATTATTCTCTGCAGGTCTCTGACTCCATGTAGACTCTGGTAAATAATAGTATCCTTAAACCAATCTTAGGACATTGCTGTTTATTTCTCCATTTTGCTGATCCCAACAGGCACATCATTATTTACACGAGACTGTTGGTCTCAGGACAGAAGTTGATATTAAAGTTTTAAAAGAAAACCATCTCCCCCCTCCAAAAAAATAACAGAACATAAACAAAATAAAAATACCAACTCTGGAAAAGAATCTGAAACAGCTTCATGGGTTACTGAAAGCTAAAAAAAAAAAAACTGTATTGAGTCACTGATGATATTTTGGTGATGTATGAGTGGGTACCAGATAGCCAACAAATACTAAAATTACTAATTAATTTAGAATGATCAACTAATTTTTGATCAAGCGACCCAGACAGGAAAGTGATGTAGCACATTTGGCTTACTTATACACCAAATGTAGTACTCATTTAATGCACTGCCAAATGTATATATGTGTATACATACAATATAATTTCACTGCCTAAAATTCCATAAGTGGGATAAGTTGGCGCCAAACTATTTTGGCCTTCAAAATTTGGCGAATTTTTTAGGTACTAAAAAGTACTAAAATGTGATTTTTAAATGTGAACAGAATAGTAACTTTTAAGTTTTGCAGTAGTGAAATGCCGTTATTTTATGTAAACAGAATAGTAAAATGAGATGATAAAATACTAGATGAGTAAAACAAGTCTAACAGCTTTGCAAGTAAAAGAATAGTCTTATATATATGTAATTCATCATAAAATAGTAGAATGAACAATTCTTGTAAATAATTATTGAGTAAGCAAATGCATACACTTATCAGATCAGAGCACTGCGAAGTCAGTTTTACACGTAAACAGAATAGCAAATTATGCGTATTCAGCATCATAAACTAACTAAAATATTCAAGTTACTATCGTTATTCCACATCTTTTGATTGCCATATGCAAGAAACAAAACTAAAAACTAAAACTGAATAAAATTAAATGAAAACATTCATAAATTATAATTTTCATGTCATATGAAATCCAACATTCTCCCACCAACAACAGCCTAATCTTCTGCAAATATTTATATAAATATAATATTAAACAGTAAAACTTTTAAAAACAAACACAGTATTATTAATTCGCGCTCTTACAAGTTACCGAAATAAAGCTTTAGGTTTGCCACAAGAAAACATACAGCCAGAAACCACAACCAAATTAAAATCGCACCAAATAAAAAACTCTCGCCAAGGTTAGCGCTCACCCCGATTATGGAATTTTAACTATTTCACTTATATATAGTATTGATTTATGTTATAAGAATGTTCATATGTAATACTGTGTTATTCAAAATATCTTGTAACAAAAGAAAATAATATGTACTGAACAACAGGCCTTGTATGCCAATGTAACTGATTTCCACAGAAATGACGTTCAATTCCGTACGGCACAAACTAGGATGGATGTCATCTTCACGGTGTATAGTGATACTGACTGCTATACTGAAAGGCCTGGTTTCGAATCCCAGAGAAGGCATGGATGTAATTTATCCATCCCTTCATAAAAGGCAACAGTAGCCCACCTGTTAGTTGCCTCCATAATAAACAGATCATCGCTTCCTGCCTTAGTAGTGGCCAGAAGCTAGAGCCTATAAACAGCTAGAGCCCACTGCTAGAACAAAAAAAATCTGAAAGCTTTCAAATTTTACATTACGCCCAAAGGGGCAGTTTGTTATTGTTTTGTGTGTTATTTTTATTAATTAAATATCATGTTCTTTGCACTTAAGCCATAAAATTCAATTCAACAGCAATACTACAAAATATTTAAAAAGACCGTTAGAATTTCTGATATACAGTCTCACATGCTGGAGTTAAAAATGTTTTTTCTTTTCGCTGTACAGTGTTCCCATTGCTCGCTTTGAAATCGTCGACTTTGTTTATCGAAAATTCGTTATAGTTTTACAAAATAGGAAAGAGACAATATAAGAAATTCCAAATTTGGTCTTCTAGATGCCCATATACAAAAAGAGGACTACTTTATTCAAAATTTGATGTGTCTATGTTCCGTTGTTTTTTCACAGTGCGAGAAACATACATACATTCATGCAGATTCTTCATTGTTTAATTTCTTTAAATACAATGTAGGGATCTAATATTTGGTAGGAAGAATTTGAAAAGTGAAACGTCGTTTTTAGTGAACCACGCAAAATGCCAAAACAAAATTAATATCCCTTCTGGGCAAATTGCCCATTTGGGCTAAGGAAAGAAAAGAGGGGTGGAAAACTAATTATTTAATCATCATACATATTTCTTTACTACAGTCAAAAGTCGTTAAT